GGGGAGGGGGTCACTGTATGGGGAGCTGCTCCCCTGACAGCCCAACCCCTGTGCATCCCCTGCCATACCCAGACCCCACTGTCGAGCCTCACCCCCTGCATCTGGAACCCTCCTGCACTCAGACCCTCAGCGAGCCCCTGCACCCAAACCATTTCCCAGTGAGACCTCCCCCACTTGAACCCTCACCCCAAAGAGCCCCACCCACCCTACACATAAACCACCCGGAAGAGCCCCCTGCCTCACTGAGCCCCAACCAGCTTCACACGGAACCCTATCCCATCAAGCCCCATTCAACCACATTGCACCACACAGAACCCTCTCACCCCACACCTGGATCCTCCCACACTAAGCCTCTCCACACTTGGATCCTGCAGGATCCAAGTATTGTGGGGGAGATTATTAAAAGCACTATGGGAAGCTGGGTGTCTAACTTCCCTTGTGGCTTTGAATATTCCTCTGTGTATTTTTTAATGTCCGTAGTTTTAAAAAAAACAAAACCAAGTAATGGCATGGTGAGACCATTTTATTATCAGAATGTCACCAGTTGTTATCTACTTTGGGAGTTTGCTTATTCTGCTTTTGCTACTCTCATCTTTTCTTTCTTTCTTTCGAATATAACTTCTTCAGACTAGAGACCAGGGCTTTATGTGTGGAAAGTGCCTAGCATTTTGTGGTTGCCATGCACCTTCCAAACAAAACAAAAAAAAGAAGAAAAATCTGTGTACGTTTTTCATATCTACCAGGTACATATGCTTTCTTACTCCCAAATATTTCAGTACTTAATATAGTTTAGTATACTTTAGTATAGTTTTAGAAATAGTTTAAGAAGTATTCATTCACAAGCTCCAGTTATCCAAAATATTGGTATTAAAAACATTCTTCTATCTTTTGTTCTCTGTCAGCATTCAAACAAAAATCCTTTCATTATCATTCTGTATTTTACCATCTCAAATTCATGCTTTTTAAACTTGTCCCTTACAAAGCTCTGAACAGCTTCTTCCTCTCTTTTGTCTCCTATATATGTTTCTAGTCCTTTCCCAGGACTAATCCCTTTGTGTATGTCTACACTGTAAAAAAAGAACCCATGGCAGTGAGTCTCGGAGGCTGCGTAAACTGACTTGTGCTTGTGCTACAGGGCTAAAAATAGCAGTGTAGATGTTTTAGGCTCAGGCTGGAGCCCAGGCTCTGGGGCCTGCCACCCTCACAAGGATTCAGACCCCAGGCTCCAGCCTGAGCCTGAACATCTACACTGCTATTTTTAGCCCCACAGCACTAGCCCCATGAGTCAGCTGACCTGGGCTATGAGACTCGCTGCCACAGACTCCCCCTCCTCCCCCCCCCCCCGTGTAGACATACCCTTTGTGTTCTTGTCCTAGTTTTATCTTCATACCTTCTTTCTTGCCACTGTACATAGAACAGACTCTCACTTCTTGTCTGCCAAAAGTTTATTCTTCAAATCTCTTTGTAAAATCTTCCTAAATTGTTCTTGCTCCTTTCTTTCTGCATTAGCTTCCTTCATGTTTTCTGAAGTAAATTAAGTTCTGCAGTACTTACCCATCTTTGTGTATAGTGCTTTTCAGATCAATGAATGAAAAGCACTGTGTAAGTGTATGACAAAACACTCAGGATTGAAGTATTTTGATTTTTATCCATGTTTTGTTGCATTTATATTTATCACATTGTCCATCACATGTTTTTGCTGGCAATCAATTTCATGCTTACAAATTGAGTATGAAGGGATAGAGCTCTAATTGGTTTTGTAAAGCACTGAAAGAAATTTTAATATGACAGTTTTCAGAGTACTTGACATTGCTTCTTTAATTTTAAGGTCTGATGCCTTTATTACCTATGATTATAGTTTTTAATCAGTAAGGAATCCTCTTCGAGTTGTTTTATTGCAAAAGGCCTCTATATTCCCGCTACAGTTTATAAAGCAGAAGAATTGAACTTTTCAACCCTATCTATATTACTAGTGAGGCCTTGAAAAACATACCCAAATTTACTGGAATGAGCCTACCAGAAAGGTGAAAAAAATCTTACCTAAACTGGGAATCTGTGGAATACTACAAAGAAGAAATAATGAAAAACTTAGAGCATATGCTTATATTTTGCTCTGTTGCTTGTTTTACCTTGTTGGGTTTTTAAATTCAACACTTCTGTGGCTTTATTCAGGTTTAGTCTTGTCAGATTGTCCCCTTATTTCCCCAGTTCTCATTTGGTGTTGGTTTGTGGTTATTTCTGCTGGATTTGGACTAATTAATTGTTGCCTTCATTTCTTTACCCAGTTTATTCCATGACTTTTGCAGATAAAAAAGCTAGCGTTAGGCTATGTGTATTCTGTGATACCTTGTTGTTTGTTACTAACGTCCACATGAGATGTCTCCCGTCATCCGCTGAAGGGCAGTCTAAACCAAGGGTTCTTAAACTTTATTGCACCGCCATCCCCTTCTGACCAAAAAAAAAAAAAAAAAAAAAAATTACTACACGACTCCAGGACGGGGGACCGAAGCCTGAGCCCCAGTCAGGCAGGGGGGCACAGCCAAAGCCCAAGGGCTTCAGCCTCAGGCAGGGAGTCTGTAACCTGAGCCCCACCAACCGGGGCTGATGCCCTCAGGCTTCAGCTTTGGCCCTGGGCAGTGGGGCTTAGGTTTTGGCTTCAACCCTGGGCCCCAGCAAGTCTAATGCCAGCCATGACAACCCCATTACAATGGGGTTGTGATCCACTTGGGGTCCCGACCCACAGTTTGAGAACTGCTGATCTAAACTGATATTTGCTTTCCATCAGACCCAAAGGAAGTGTAAGGGCTACCTCAGACTCCCTCTGTTGGCTTTAAAAATCTACTCCCCCACTCTGCAGTCCAGTGCTGAGGATCTGGTAAGGGAGCCATAAAGGAACTCTTAGATATCACTCGTCTAGTTAAGCCCAATGCCAAATTTGTAGGATCAGAATTGTATGAAGTCTGAAAATATGGTGGAAAAGAAGTTCTTGGTGCTGAGACTTCCTCAGTAGTAAACCTTGCTAAGAAGGCATGGAGCTGTGACTTGTAATCAGCCGCTCAGTGCTGAGATTCTTCTTCCGCAGGGCAGACTCACCTAAGCATTTCCCAAGAGTGGAGATACATAAAGGCAGTTATTGAGGGAGAGAGATTTGTTACCAGTAAGAGTAGTTCTTTCCCCTTCTTGTCAAGTAGTTGTCTCCCGGAGTGTCTTTCTTTCCATAGCACTTGTAGGTAGGTTACGTTACACAGCCTTGCTGAGCTTGGGAGGTAATGACCAGCCCTCTGGAAAATTGACCAGAATGGTCTGACCTCAGTGGCACAAATGGCACCTGTGCCACTGTGAGTCCCCTCTCACCCCCATCCCTGCCTTGCAATTTTGGTCAGGATGTGTCCCCAAAATAATTTGGTCACCTTTCAAATTGTAGGATTTGGCCACCAAATTTAACTTTCTTGACGCATAATGCTTGCTGTTTCCTTGTGAGAACAGGCAAAAATGACAGAGCAGGCGAAAAGCAAGCTTAATCCCTGCAAGGAGGGAAATGGTTGTGGCATGCAGGAACAGACTGGGTCTCCTTCAATATTTCAGATGGCCAAGAGCAGTCTCGTAGCAGACTCCTGGTACTTGTCCCTGCTCAGCTGTTGGAGCAGCCATTGCACTCAGGCACTGCTGTCCTGTCCCCCTCCACCCACTGTTTTGATAGTGAGTCTTCCTGACCTACTACCAAAACTAGGGCAGCAACAGATATTGGTGTGGCTTTGCTGGATCTGATTCCAGAGCAGCTGCCAGTGTAGGCTACAGCAGCACCAGAAGTAGGATCAAGCTCCCAGGTGGAGTATCTGCTCTTTGAAGAGGCTTTGTAGAGGAGGCAGCACTATGGGATTAATTTTCACTTCTAAGATTTGTCTAACCCTGCTCAGCAAGTCTACAAAACACAGTGCTCCCACTGTTATCATTGGTGGACCTGAATTGGTGGTAACAGTGGGAAATTTTAGAAGATAAAGTCTCTGAATGTAAGCAAGGCTTTTATGTTCTTTGAGGCAGGAAATCATTTACTTACTTGGGAAAGAGGGAAAATAATGTTTGGCCAATTTCTTGATTTTTCCACTGGTCAGATTATTTTTTTCAAACTTGAACCGTAGCATTGTTAGTGTGACTCTCTTCTGTTTGTTTAAACTTTCTTATATGATTCAATTATGATCAACATTAGTATGGCTTTTAAAAGTACGGCTTTGAATATCTTTAATTTCCTCCTGTATTTTGGTTTCCATTTTTGCTTCTCTCTGCCTTACTCATACCCTCCCTCCCTCTATTAGGAAAAACTTTTTCACTAAGAGGGTGGTGAAACACTGGAATGCGTTACCTAGGGAGGTGGTAGAATCTCCTTCCTTAGAGGTTTTTAAGGTCAGGCTTGACAAAGCCCTGGCTGGGATGATTTAACTGGGATTTGGTCCTGCTTTGAGCAGGGGGTTGGACTAGATGACCTTCTGGGGTCCCTTCCAACCCTTATATTCTATGATTCCCTCAGCCAAACTGCCATTTCTCTGTTTTGTTTTTTTCTGGTTTTACTGTGAGACAGTAACTTTTACCCTCATTTTTCATAGCCTGTATGTGCTCTTTCTTCTGATTCTTAAGATTTTTTTGTGATGTGTCCCCCGTAAGGAATGAACACACTCCACATAAATTAAGGTTGTTTTCAGTTGACCATGTCAAATTTTAAACACAATAGGAAATTAAAAAAAACACAAATTAATCAAAATGCATTTAAATGACATTAAAAAGCAAGCCTCCTAACAGCAAAAAAATATATACTTTTTGGCCCAGATGTGTTCATCTTTGTGTCCAATTCATAATCTGCTATTCTAAGACTCTTGTTAAAATTTGGATCACAATTTCAGTTTAAAGATTAGCAGAATTTTGTGTGCCATCTGTGATCTGAAACGATAGTTTTGATGTAAAATGTCCTGCCTGTTGTTCAACTGATTTTTACTTTTACCTTTCAGGGTTTTGACCCACCACATCAAAGTGATACACGAACTATTTACATAGCAAATCGTTTCCCCCAGAATGGCCATTATATTCCTCAGAAATTTGCAGAGAACAGAATCATTTCATCTAAGGTAAGGATCCATGTACTTTGTCAAAAATATTTGATAAAAAGTAAACATCACTTAGGATGTTGTGGAGTATCTGTGCATCTGGTAGTGTGATGTGTTTTCACATCATTTAAAATAGCAAATGACTTCAAAACCAATGTTTAAAAAGTGAGGCCCCTTCTCCTCCTCCTCTCTGCTCCCATCACCCTGCCCTTCAAAATACGAAAGCCTGATTGCACACTGACCGACCGTCTCAGGTAAAATTCCTCAGAAAGAAGATGGGTCTTGAACCATGAGATCCAGTGGCAATTCCCTGCATCACCTCCAGATATTTACATCTGTACTTAGAGAGGGCATCTCTCAAATTGTCAAGCCTGTTATGTGAAAAAGAGCATGTTAGTGTAAAGAACATTGAGCTGCCCACAGAGTTTCCTTTCTGGTGCGCAGTCTGGCCGTTGGTGGGGTGAATGGACCTAATTGGTCAGAATAAATATCTTAGTTGACTGGATGGTAAGAAAGCAATGTCTGCTGCTGCAGCAGCCTCAGTAAATCTTTCCCCCTTCCCAATAGCCATCTTGCAACCAGCTGATTGGCTCAGCGGAAGGGAGAAAGCAGTCCCCAGGGGAACCACTCTGACACCTCTCCCGCCCTCCCACCCACCCATGCATGTGCGCGCACACCGATAGGTAGGAAGGTATCTTCAGCTGGCACTGCTGCAGCCAGCACAGCTACCTCGATGCCTGGGCTTCTCCTAGCTCCTGGCTTGTCTACAAGAAGGGACAAGCCTTGGCTCTGCCTCACCCCAAAGACAGAGAAGAGGTTACAGCACTTTGGGAAGAGGAGAATGAGACGGTTTTGAGGGATTTGTTGGGGAGAGACTGGGAAGAGATTGAAAAGTTTTTTATGGAAAATTTGTGCAATGTCATGTTATATAACCCCACTTCTCTTTTCTTTTCAGTATACAGTGTGGAATTTTATTCCGAAAAATTTATTTGAGCAGTTCAGAAGAGTAGCCAATTTTTATTTTCTTATTATATTTTTGGTTCAGGTAAGTTGAATAAAACTTATAATTTAATGAGAGAGACTCCATAGTCGGAATATAGAGCTGGAAACCAGGATTTTCTGGGTTATATTCTCAGTTCTGCTACTCATTCTCTGCCTTGTGCAAATCACTTAAACTCTGTCTCAGTTTTTTCATCTATTTTTTTTTTTAAAGGCACAGTAACTATTTCACAAGGGTGTTGGAGTCTTAACTACTTGGACTGCACTGAATGAATTTAGGCTCAAATTTGAAATACTATTTTGAGTATTTGCAGCTACATGCCCTTGTAGGCAGTCTCCTCATACCATCCTCCCCCATAAATTTATCAAGCTCGGTCTTGAAGACAGTTAGGGTTTTTTTGCCCCACTACTTCTTGGAAGGCTGTTCCAGAACTTCACTCCTCTGATGACTAGAGTTACAAAGGGATCTCACAAAACTGGGTGACTGGGCAACAAAATGGCAAATGATAAGTGTTGATAAATGCAAAGTAATGCACATTGGAAAACATAATCCGAACTATACATACAAAATGATGGTGTCTAAATTAGCTGTTGCCACTCAAAAAAAAGATCATGGAGTTATTGTGGATAGTTCTCTGAAAACATCTGCTCAGTATGCAGCAGCAGTGAAAAAAGCGAACAATGTTAGGAACCATTAGGAAAGGGATAGATAATAAGACAGAAAATATCATAATGCCACTATATAAATCCATGGTACGGTCACATCTTGAATACTGCATGCAGTTCTGGTTTCTCCATCTCAAAAAGATATATTGGCATTGGAAAAGGTACAGAGAAGGGCAGCAAAAACGATTAGGGGTATGGAGCAGCTTCCATATGAGGCAGGAATAAAAAGACTGGGACTGTTCAGCTTGGAAAAGAGAACTGGCTGGGGGCAGCATGACAGAGATTTATAAAATTATGAATGGTGTGGAAAAAGTGAATAAGGAAATTTTATTTACTGCTTCACATAACGCAAGAACCATGGGTGGTCAAAGGAAATTTAATAGGCAGCAGGTTTAAAACATAAGGAACTACTTCTTCATACAGTGCATGGTCAATCTGTGGAACTCGTTGTCGGTGGATATAGTGAAGGCCAAAACTATAATGGGGTTAAAAAAAGAATTAGATAAATTCATGGAAGATAGGTCTGTCAGTGTCTATTAGCCAAGATGGTTTGGGATGTAATCCCATGCTTTGGGTGTCGCTAGCCTCTGACTGCCAGAAGCTGAGAGTGGACAACAGGGGTTGGATCACTTGATGATGGCCTGTTCTGTTCATTCCCTCTGAAACACCTGACATTGGCCACTGTCGGAAGACAGAGAACTGGGCTAAATGACCCATTGGTCTGACCCAATATGCCCATCCTTTATCCTCTTGGAAACTTGAGAGCATCATTTCTTTTCCTATCTGCTTTATCAAAGTAGATTTTTATTTACTACTGTTCATGGTCCACTTGGTTCTGCACAATCTTTGTCTATGTTATAGTATTCTTCTTGGTATAAGATATGTTTCAAGGCTGAAATCCTGTCTGGCTGTGTAATAGCAGAACACAAGTTCTCTCGCTCAGACTGGAATTTGCCATATTTTTTTAACTCTGGTAAATTTGAGAGTAAAAAGATCAGTAAAAAGATCAAGGCCCTGCTGTTGCCCAAGCTATTTTCTCTAACCTTTAACTTTTTAAAACTCTCTATGCAAGATTTATTTGGTAGTGCTTCCCAAGGCAATGAGTTAAATTTCAGGTAAACCTAATAAATTTCTTAAATTAATATTAATGTTTTCAATAACTGTTTTCCCTCTGTATCCTTTCTCTGCAGCCCTTTAATACAGTTAGTTTATCCTGTAAAGTAGCACTGTTCCTGCAGTAGAGAAAAACCCATACAGGCTCGTGCACACATGTTTAGTGTTTGCATTGAAGTTGGCAACACAACAGTGGTAGCAAAAATTGTAAAATCTGCAAGGTTCTCTTATGGAAGACAGAAAGCAGTACTATGTGCAAGGGGATTCTTTAATTTATGTGCCAGAGATAAAGCCTTAGGAAATTTGTGCTTTCAGTTTTCAGTCTGAATTTAAGATGTCTTTTATCCTACTTTTTTTTGTTGTAAGCTAGTTCTTTGTATGGTGTAAAAAAGCAGTTTCATATAATATATATCTTAACTCAACTTGGTAGGAGAAAATAAATTCTTGTTTTCGTTGGTTAAGAATCTTAAAATCAAAATGTGATGCACACTACCAACTGCAAGAGAAATTCTCTTCTGTGATCCATAGATTTTCTGTCTGCACTGTATGTCAGTATTGCCACCTTTTAGGAGAACTGCTTCTGACATCAAGGGGAGTTTTGCACTAGAATGACTATAGAATATGTAATAAAGAGCCTCTCTGACTTACATAATTTTGCTCATGTGGTGTAAAATGTTATTGCCTTTGGTTTTGTAAGATTTTAAGAATAATCTGGTACTAACATTATCCTCATTCTCTTTTCCTATAGCTTATGATAGATACACCGACCAGTCCTATTACAAGCGGATTGCCATTGTTCTTTGTCATAACTGTAACAGCCATAAAACAGGTATGAAATTAGCCTAAATAGCATGATTCCTTTTTAAACAGTTTCTTAATCTTTTCTTTAAATAGTGTAGTCAGGATTTGTTAGACACTCTAAGCGGTAAAGCGCACACACGGTTTCTAGAAAGAAATCAGTAAATGTGTTTAAAACGTTGCCCGCCAGAAGCTTAAACTGGGGAGCTCTGCTTAGCTGTCAGGCACCCAATGACTCATTGTAACATCCTTAAATGCACAGGAATGACTGTCAAAAGACATTTTTGTCTAGACTTTGTATATCAATTGTTATAAGACCATTTCCTAATGCCTCTCACTTATTCCCTTGGCACACCTCAGTACACATTATAAAGGAATCCTCGTACATAATACAGACCAGGAAAGAGACTTGGGGTGGGTGATGCATTAAAAGTACCTGCATGTTGTTTGGCAGCAGTTAAGAGAGCCCCAAGAGCAGCATAGAGAGCTTTTCTTGCCAGTGTAGAATGGTGCCCTAGGCAGGAAAAGCTTAAGTCCTCCTCTGGGGCAGAAATCTAGGCATTCACACAGCTGTCAGATGATTGGAGGTAATCACTTTACAGTTACATATTGATTAGAGGCAGAAAATCAATTAATATCCTAACCTTACAAAAATATTGTTTGTAACCTAAACAAAGAGATCTGACTATATTTCACTATCCCTGAAGTATATTAATGCTGGTAGGACTTTTGGCAAGGCTTAATTGTTACCTGCAAAATAGGATTAAAATTCAACAACTCGAGATATCTGAGCCATTACTGATTATCTTTGAGAAGTCATGGAAGATGGGAGAGATTCCAGAAGACTGGAAAAGGGCAAATATATAGTACCCATCTATAAGAAGGAGAAATAGGGACAATCTGGAGAATTACAGACCAATCAGCGTAACTTCTATACCTGGAAAGATAATAAAGCAAATAATTAAGCAATCAATTTGCAAATATCTAGAAGATAATAAGGTGATAAGTAACAGCATGGATTTGTCAAAAACAAATCATGTCAAACCAACCTGATAGCTTTCTTTGGCAGGGTAACAAGCCTTATGGCTAGGGGTGAAGCGGTAGACGTGGTATATCTTGATTTTACTAAAGCTTTTCATACTGTCCCACATGACCTTCTCATAAATAAACTAGGAAAATGCAACCTAGAGGGAGCTACTATAAGGCGAGTGCAAAACTGGTTGGAAAACCGGTCCCAGAGAGTAGTTACCAGTGGTTCAGAGTCATGCTGGAAGGGCATAACGAGTGGGGTCCCGCAGGGATCAGTTCTGGGTCTGGTTCTGTTCAATATTTTCATCAATGATTTAGATAATGGCATACAGAGTACTATAAAGTTTGCAGATGATACCAAGCTGGAAGAGGTTGCAAGTGCTTTGGAGGATAGGATTAAAATTCAAAATGATCTGGACAAACTGGAGAAATGGTCTGAAGTAAACAGGATGAAATTCAATAAGGACAAATGCAAAGTACTCCATTTAGGAAGGAACAATCGGTTACACACATAAAAATGAGAAATGACTGCCTAGGAAGGAGTACTGTGGAAAGGGATCTGGCGGTCATAGTGGACCGCAAGCTAAATATGAGTCAACAGTATAACACTGTTGCAAAAGACAAAAAAAAACAAAAAAAAAAACCCCACCATAATTCTGGGATGTATTAGCAGGAGTGTTGTAAGCAAGACATGAGAAGTAATTCATCCACTCTGTTCCGCTCTGATTAGGCATCAACTGGAGTATTGTGTCCAGTTCTGTGCGCCACATTTCAGGAAGGGTGTGGACAAATTGGAGAGAGTCCAGAGAAGAGCAACCAAAAAAGGTCTAAAAAACATGACCTATGAGGGAAGACTGAAAAAATTGGGTTTGTTTAGTTTGGAAAAGAGAAGACTGAGAGGGGACATGAAAACAGTTTTCAAGTATGTGAACGGTTGTTACAAGGGTGAGGAAGAAAAATTGTTCTTTACCTCTGAGGATAGAACAAGAAGCAATGGGCTTTAAATTGCAGCAAGGGAGGTTTAGGTTGGACATTAGAAAAAACTTCCTGTCAGGATGGTTAAACACTGGAATAAATTGCCTAGGGAGGTTGTGGAAAGATTTTTGGAGATTTTTAAGAGCGGGTTAGACAAACACCTGTCAGGGATGGTCTAGATAATACTTAGTCCTGCCACGAGTGCAGGGGACTGGACTAGATGACCTCTTAAGGTCCCTTCCAGTTCTACGATTCTGTGAACTTCAGAATTATATGCAGAATTCCCCAAATGGCAAGGGTAAGACGGTCATTCAGGTTATGAAATACTGAAGTGATCTTTTTCTGTTTGTGTGACTCCCCACCATTTGCTGCACCCGTTTCAAGACACATCACATAACTCTGTTAGACTGGAGCTAATCAGTTGCAACGTTGCAGTGGAGGGAGTAGAGGGAAGAGAAATAGTGCCTCTTAAAATTAGGGTATTAAAATACTTCAAGATGGTATGATATTTTAAATCCAGTAAGTTTTGTGACCACTGTAGGCTGTCTCCAGTCTGTAGCAGGATTCCATAGTGTGTGAGGCATCACCAGCATGTTGTGGTGAAGTACTGTAGAGCAAGCTCTTTATCATGAAAATGCAACTTACAATGTAAAAACATTTTTGTTACATAACTGCACTCAAAACCAAAACAATCTAAAACTTCAGAGCCTACAAGTCCACTCAGGCCTACTTCTTGTTCAGCTAATTACTAAGACAAACAAGTTGGTATTACATTTCCAGGAGATAATGATGCCCGCTTCTTATTTACAATGTCACTTGAAGGTGAGAACAGGTGTTTGCATGGCACGTTTGTAGTCAGCATTGTAAGATATTTATGTGCCAGGTATGCTAAACATTTGTATGCCCCTTCATGCTTAGGTCACCATTCCAGAGGACATGCTGATGATGATCGTTAAAAAAAAATAAGGCATTAATTAAATTTATGACTCAGCTCCTTGGGGGAGAATTGTATATCTTCTGTTGTGTTTTACCTGCATTCTGCCATATATTTCATGTTATAGCAGTGTCGGATGATGACCTAGCACATGTGTTCGCTTTAAGAACACCTTCACTGCAGATTTGACAAAACGCTAAGAAGGTACCAGTGTGAAATTTCTAAAGATAGCTACAGCACTTGACCCAAGGTTTTAGAATCTGAAGTGCCTTCCAAAATCTGAGAGGGATGAGGTGTGGACCATGCTTTCAGAAGCCTTAAAAGAGCAACACTCCAATGCGGAAAGAGCAACACTCCAATGCGGAAACCACAGAAACAGAACCGGAACCACCAAAAACGAAAATCAACCTTCTGCTGGTGGCATCTGACTCAGATGATGAAAATGAACATACGTTGGTTCGCACTGCTTTTGGATCACTATCCAGCAGAACCCATCATCAGCATGGATGCATGTCCTCTGGAATGGTGATTGAAGCGTGAAGGGATATATGAATCTTCAGCAAATCTGGCACATAAATACCTTGCAATGCTGGCTACAACAGTGCCATGTGAACACCTGTTCTCACTTTGAGGTGACATTGTAAACAAGAAGCAGGCAGCATTATTTCCTGCAAATGTAAACAAACTTGTTTGTCTGCGTGATTGGCTGAACAAGAAGTAGGACTGAGTGGACTTGTAGGCTCTAAAGTTTTACATTGTTTTATTTTTGATTGCAGTTATTTTTGTACATAATTCTACATTTGTAAGTTCAACTTTCATGATAGAGACTGTACTACAGTACGTGTATTAGGTGAATTGAAAAATACGATTTCTTTTGTTTTTTACAGTGCAAATATTTGTAATCAAAAATAAATATAAAGTAAGCACTGTACACTTTGTATTCGGTGTTGCAATTGAAATCAATATAGTTGAAAATGTAGAAAAAATCCAAAAATATTTAAATAAATGGTATTCTATTATTGTTTAACAGCACAATTAATTGTGACTAATTTTTTTAATTGCCCAATTAATCATGAGTAGTTTTTTTTCTTCACTTGACAGCCCTAGTTCCTAATGTGTATTCTTTTTAGCAGTTGTGTTGCTCAGAAACAAGAGAATTTTAATGGCACTGGGATTTACATGACCCAAATAAGCCTTCTCTTCTTTCTTCTTCGTTAGAATCATAGAATATTAGGGTTGGAAGAGACCTCAGGAGGTCATCTAGTCCAATCCCCTGCGCAAAGCAGGGCCAACCCCAACTAAATCATTCCCAGCCAGGGCTTTGTCTAGCCAGGCCTTAAAAACCGCTAAGGATGGAGATTCCACCACCTCCCTAGGTAACGCATTCCAGTGCTTCACCACCCTCCTAGTGAAATAGTGTTTCCTAATGTCCAACCTAGACCTCCCCCACTGCAACCTGAGACCATTGCTGCTGCTTCTGTCATATGCCACCACTGAGAACAGCCTAGCTCCATCTTCTTTGGAACCCCTCTTCAGGTATTTGAAAGCTATCAAATCCCCCCTCCCAACCCCCCTTCTCTTCTGCAGACTAAATAACCCCAGTTCCCTCAACCTCTCCTTATAAGTCATGTGCTCCAGCCCCCTAATCATTTTTGTTGCCCTCCGCTGGACTCTCTCCAATTTGTCCACATCTCTTCTGTAGTGGGGGGACCAAAACTGGACACAATACTCCAGGTGTGGCCTCACCAGTGCCAAATAGAGGGGAATAATCACTTCCCTTGATCTGCTGGCAGTGCTCCTACTAATACAGCCCAATATGCCGTTGGCCTTCTTGGCAACAAGGGCACACTGCTGACTCATATCCAGCTTCTCGTCCACTCTGCAGGTCCTTTTCTGCAGAACTGCTTAGCCAGTCGGTCCCCTGCATGGGATTCTTCCTTCCTAAGTGCAAGACTCTGCACTTGTCCTTGTTGAACCTCATCAGATTTCTTTTGGCCCAGTCCTCCAATTTGTCTAGGTCATTGTTCCACACCCTCAAAGAATTGGGTTAGCCTTCTGAGTATTAGTAACATAAGACTGTAAACTTGGAAACACAGAATACGGTACTTCGGGTTTTTTTCTCCATTCATTAGTCATGTGTGGGATCGTCCAATATCAGGTCATTTTTTAAATAAAGTGTTCTGTTTCCAGGACACTCTTTAACCCGAAAGAAGAAAAATCTCAGTGGCTGAATTAAGAATATAATTGGGCAAAATGCTTATATTTTATGTGTAATAAACACCATGTATGGAGGTGATATCAATTTTATAAATTAAGAACCAGTTGATAGACGATAAACCTATCATACCCCTTTGACTGCCTCAATAAACTTTCCATAGAAATATTTCCTCTGTCAACCCCCCCCAAATTAACCCTAGTCCAAGGTTCAGGACAAGCAAGATTTAGTTCTGTATCAGTAACAACTTTTCTATATGTGAATATCAAAACATTCAGGTCCAATATCTTGTGGCATTCCAAGGCCAGAAACAATCTCATTGGGGTTGTGATATTCCCAGCATTTCAGTGAGACCCCATACTCCCTTCTAGGTCTGCAAGGTTCCAAGAAAGCAGACTGCTTTGTCATATTTTTATGTACGGAAAAGCAATAAAAATAGCTTTCCAGGTTTTTTTATGGTTGCTTCTGACCTCTGTACAGTTGGAATCATGGTAACTAATCTCCGCAGCTTTGCAGGTGGAGAGAGAAAGATGAAAATACACACAATAAGGCTTCTAAAAAATCCTCTAAAACATCTCTAAAGCAGATTTCTGTAATATTGCATATGACAAGTATAGAATATATGATGGTGTATAAGATGTGGTATAAATTTATAAAGATACTGGAGGTAGTACTTTAGAGTTGGTTGGCTGTTTTGTCCATTTGAGGCAAAGTAAGGTAATGAATCTGTTTCTCAAGGGTCAGTGGAAAGTGACTTCTCCATATTAAATGAAAATGCCCTTGAATATTTGTCTCACTGAATTTACTATGTTATCAAAAGTACCCTAGATCTTCACAGAAAACTGTGACCTTTGCTGTAATCTTTAGAAGTAGTTGATGAACACACTTTTAGTACTTTGAGTAGCATTCAGCTTTTTATATAGAAATGGTAAATCTGCTGCAGGCTTCGCTTTTTATCAAGTCAAACTTTTTTAAATGTTCACATCTGAATTTTATGCACATCTGTGAGCTTGCTTACTCGCTCACCAGGCCTACTTTGAATTGAGAGTACAAGACACATATACTTGTGAATGAAACATTGGTAGAAAAATTATTTAACAGTGAACCATAGCCAGAGTTAACCAAGAAACAGCAAAATACATTGCTGCTAAGAATTACTGGCTCAAGAACTTCTCTGTTATATACTTAGATTTTAAGCTTCTTGGCACAAGGACTGTCTTTTTGTTCTGTGTTTGAGCACCCTTAGCACAATGGGGTCCTGGTGCATGACTGGGACTCCTAGGCAGTACAATAATACAAATAATATTAACATTAATCTTAGTTTCAAGAATACAGATAGCCGTTTAATTCATATGAATGCTGGACAATCCATTGCCTCCTGCATATCAAAAGTATCTTCCAGAATATACCTATTACTGTCTGTCCACAAATTTATTGGGAGATGTACAAGTAAACAAGTAATATATTAACTGATGTACAAAGAAAATATAAAACAGGACATGTACCCTCCTTTGATTTTTTGAATATCTGGAGGGGAAAATGTTGGATTGTCTTCTCTATTAAAAATCCAGGTTGATTAGTCACTCTAAACCTTTGCCCTGGTACACTCTGGATGAATTAAGACTTTGTACCTGACTGTTTTTCTCACATACGCTGTCATTTCCACTTGCTCAACAAAACATGAATGTCAACTCCACACCATAGAAGTTTAAAATCTCTTTGCAAGAACAGGTGCCTCGGCTGTTGCTCAGAAAGATGCTAGAGCAAGCTCTCTGGGAATTGCATAGTTCAACAGAAAAGGGGGTTATTTTAATAAATCAGTAAATGAGACACTGGGAATGATTGTTTCTATTCCCTACTCAGTTGCCTTAATCCACTTAGACATTGTGAGGCTCTCAGGTTGCATGAGCAGTTGTTTTAACTCTTCTTATGGAACCTTCACCGCAGATATTTGTTTTAAAATAGTAATAAGATTCCATAATTCTACATTACATGTGCTATTTTTTTTATCTTTATTTAACAAATCTGAAACTAGTGAAAACAGGGTGCTTCGACTGCACAGTGATGGGTGCAGTCGAACCTGAATAGAACAGAGGTCTGGTGACATGCTTTTGGTCACACAGCTGGTTGCTTGTTTGCAAAGCTATGGTGCCTCAAACTACTTTGTTACTCTTAGAAAAGTATACAGCTGTTTAAAATATAACATTCAATCTTGTATTTCTGCAGGGGTATGAAGACTGGTTACGACATAAAGCAGACAATGAAGTAAATGGAGCTCCAGTTTATGTTGTTCGAAGTGGTGGCCTTGTAAAAACTAGATCAAAAAACATTAGGGTATGTATCTAGTAACTAGCAGAAAACAGTGTATTTCTTCTTTAGAACTATAGTTATGCCAGTTCATTTCAGCAAAATGCTCATTTGCTGCATTGCAATTTTATGGTGGTCTATTGCATTATAATTTTGAATAACTGTTAAAATTAATTCTTAATCTATTCTTTTTCAAAAGCATACTCTCATTTTTGTTTATCTTTCAGGTGGGTGATATTGTCAGAGTAGCCAAAGATGAGACTTTCCCTGTTGATCTTGTACTTCTGTCCTCCGATAGAGTGGATGGTTCGTGTCATGTTACTACTGCTAGCTTGGATGGAGAAACTAATCTTAAGGTTGGTAATCTAAACATATGCAGTTTTCTAGTATGAAATGCAACGTAGAAATAAGAGTCAAATCAACTTACAGCCTTTGCTAACTTAGTAAAGGCCAGCGTCCTTAAATTTCTCTGTTAATGACTCAAATGGGAGGTTTTGTGTGTCTAATTTTACTTTTTTTAAACATTTCTCACAGCTCCCACAATGTGCTAGCAAGTATCAGGGGGTAGCTGTGTTAGTCTGTATCCACAAAAACAACAAGGAGTCTGGTGGCACCTTTAAAGACTATCAGATTTATTTGGGCATAAGCTTTTGTGAGTAAAACACCACTTCTTCACATCTGAAGAAGTGATGGTTTACCCACGAAAGCTTATGCCCAAATAAATCTGTTAGCCTTTAAGGTGCCACCAGACTCCTTGTTGTTAATGTGCTAGCAGTTTTACTAAAAGTAAAGAGAGTGTCTAGGTTCTGTACTTATCAAAATATAGTTAATTTTTATCTTAACTTATTTGAGCACATAGCAAGGCTATTTTTAATATCACGATACGTCATAATCTGCTGTTTTACCTTCTTGTGCTACACATAAGATCTTATTCTGCCACCCTTACTCAAACTGAGTAGCACCCAACCCCCCTTGAAATCAGTGGGCTTACTTTTTAAGTAAGGTGTACTACTCAGTGAGAGTAAGAATAGCAGAATCTGACCTTTAGTTATTAGGTGTATCTTAATATATCAGAACTGTAATATCCCTGTTTATTTTATTTTTTGGTTTGAGCTGCAGTATATTAATAGGACCAAGAACCTTGCTTGATCTGGTAATGTAAGAAATGTTATAAATGGTAATTAACTTGGCCAGAAAAAACCCACATTAATCACTTTTAAGGAACATTATTGCAGTACTTTAAATGGTAGTTTGCAGTGTCATAATGGTGAAACATCTGTCAGTGTACAAGATGTGATGCTTTCATATACAAAATCCATGACCCTTTTCAGGGTTCCAGAGGCTTTCCTTGACCAAAGAAATGCCAACAAACTAGTACCTTTCTGTATCATTGAGAAATTCTCATATATAGAGATGTGTGTTTTTTCAGACTCATGTTGCAGTCCCAGAAACAGCAGTATTACAGTCAGTTGCCAACCTGGACACGCTCGTAGCTGTTATAGAATGTCAACAGCCAGAAGCAGACCTATACAGGTGTCATTTTATTCTTCATAATTTTGAAGTTGATTTAAACGCAAAATTTCTGATGGTGGTTAATTATATGGATCTTGCTGAGAGGAAAGTTTCTCTCTGTGTATTGTTGTACATTTCAGGTTTTATTAAACAAATGTCGGAGTTTGTATGTAAATCCCTATGCTGCTTAAAGCTGCAAAAAGGGAAAGAGCCTTCTGATTTTTATTGTTTACATTTTAACTCCAGCATGGTTCTACATTGCTTGTTAAGCAGTAAATTTGTTCACAACTTTTAAAAGTAATGGTGCTTGAGCAGGAATTGTGGAAAAAGACGAGCTGTACATGGTTCTGCCAAAACACTTCAGTCCTGAATATTTAACTCCCCTTTCTTTAGTTATAAATTAAAGTGTCTCAAATTGTGTGATTTTGTTTTGATTTTCTACTAAGACCATATACCCCAAAATTTACTTTCATTTACAGCCTAAGCAAGATTTGAACTGTTTCCCAGTAGCAAAAGAGTAGTTTAGTAAACCCTTACTACACCAACATGTCTCATTTAAAAGCTACTGTCAGCAAGCAGTGTAATAGACTTTTTAAAAGGGTGTTTTCCTAACAAATGTATGCTATGTGTAGGTCTATGACCCTGTAAATATTTCTTACTCATAGCATAATAGTAACATTGCATGATTTTTGTATTAATGACTAGCTTTAATAGAAGCTGATAACTTTCATGTATATTCATTTTAGTAATCATATTATGTGGACAGTAGCTTATTTTAACTGAGTATTTGGATCCTTGTGGAATTTCAGATTCAAAACATGAATGTATATTTGCTTAACTAGTTATTGAACACTGAATCTCAAGTGGATTGTAAAGGTCATAGAATTAGTGATGTCAGTAAAGAACTAGTAAACCAATGATAGTGAACTTTTACAGTCATTTCATATCAGGGTGTTATAAGGCATACAAAATATTTTTGACATTTCAGTCACCAAAGAATTTGAAAGTAACTGGATAGTTTATTCATCTACTTTGTTAGATGTGAAATTACTATTCATTTCAGATGAAAAATGTACTGGTAACTTTGCTTTTTTTTTTTTTTTTTTTAAAGGAATTACATTTCTTGATTGGAACATGTAATCATTTGGTAGGGGGAGGTTCAACCAACTTAACAAAAGATATTTTTTATCTGATTTCATAAATTGAGTTGTATGGGTTATTTCTAAAATCACTCAGTTCATTTTCTTGAGGGGGGGATGATTCATAGCTCTTGTTGATGACTTCTTGAAGCATACCTCAAAATTATCACCAAATTTAATGTATTGCCCATTAATAAAACAGACTGTAAATCAAGGATGGGATATTCCATCTGGCGCATACCGCATTTATGTCATGCTTTCCTTGCATTAATGAAATAAAGACTTTTTTTATATTGGAGTTTGTACACCAACATTCTGGCATATGACCTTTTTTCATAGATTTGTTGGAAGAATAACTATAAGTCATCAAATTGAGGAAATTGTGCGGTAAGTAAAATGTTTGTAAAGCTAACTTAATAAAACTTTAAAAGCTAAGCTAAGGTGATCGAACATGACCATCATAAAATTATCATGGAATGGAAAAGGGTAATAGTTTATTATCCAGATGCTACTTCAACTCCATAGTAAAGGTTGAGTCAAGTAAAACTAGATTAGACAGTTGAAGTAGTTAAACCTAAACTTACTTGTTTTCCAAAGTTTAGTTTATAGTAATTTTAAGTGTTAGTTTCACCACTTGAATTAACTTGCTTTTTGTAAAGTTGGCATTTGAATGTTTTTAAAATGTGTGTATGAAGTTAGCATGTCATATTTGTGAGAAGTGTTGTAACTTACAATTCTATGTCTTGTAATGCAGTAGATACCCATGGCTTGATGATCAGAGGCACGGAGCACTCTCCGCTCCTGTTGCAATCAGTGGGAACTACTGGCTTATTACCCTGCTGGGGCTTTTTTTTTTTTTTAACATTTAATAAATGTGCACTATCACTAGGTATTTAACTACTTAAATGTTGCAGAGCATATAAATGCACAACACCTGTGGTAGTGAACATGCCTGGTGTAAGAGGTTTTCCTGTCCATTGAAATAAATGGAATATGCATTTAAAATGCGGCAAAAATTATCAAAAGGGTCAAGCAGTAAAGAAGTTCAGAGATTTAAGACTGGATTTTCAACTGATATTAGCTCCCATATAGGCACCTAAAAGAAGTGCCCAGAGTTTCAAGAGTACTTAGCGCCCAGATTGAGAGTAGAGCTGGTAGGTGTTGAGACCTCTTGAAAAGTTGGTCCTCTCTATCTTTAAAATGTGCTTTCATACATAATAGATGTATTCATTAACAAACCAGTTCCTTCCTGTGACTTGTTTGATATTTTAATGCCCAAGAAGTTCATTTTTAATTGTTTTTGTTGTTCAGGCATAGGCCTTAGGGATGAAAGATCTATCTTCTGTCTCCACACTTCATTTGAGACTTTGGTCAAATCATTTATTCACCCTGTACTTCAGTTTACTCATCTTTAAAACTGACATGTTTACTGAGCTCACAACCAAATTGGGAAGCTTACTTAATTAACGTTTAAATAAATTTTTATATCTTCAGATAGAAGGCACTATATAAGTGCTCAACTATAAACTTGTTAAAGAGATTATTCAGTTAAGTGGGAAAAGGACCTTAAAAAAATCAGAACCCGTTAAGAATGAACTTCTTGGACTGGTTCTGATTTTTTTTTTATTTATTTTTTTAAGGCCCTTTTTCCACTAACTGAATAACCTCTGAAACAAGTTTATATTTCAGCACTTATATAGTGCCTTTTATTGGAAAATTATAAAAATCATTATAAATGTGAATGAAGTGATGCTCTCAATACCTCTGTGAGGTTGGTAAATATTATGTCAGTTTTAAAGATGAGTACGTTTGAATAAAGGGTGAATAAATGATTTGCCTGAGCTCTTTTCAAAGGTCTTGCATGAAGTGTGGAGACAGAAGACACATCTTTCAGCCCCAGAGCCTATGCCTGAACAACAAAAACAGGGCATTCCCAAAGGTTTTCTTCCGGTTGCTACCACATTTGCAGGTCTTCAGAATATATTATTGCCAAGCTTTTCATGTTCAGCTCCAGGATTAATCTCAAAATTAATTCAGTTGAAAAGTATAGCAGAACCAGTTTAAACCATGTGTGATGACACACTTACAGCTCCACCAGTAGACAGAGCTCATATCTCTTTACCATCAAAAAGAAACCAGGTTTGCTTGTACTGCACTGATTGAACTATGTATTCTGAGCTAGCTAAACTGCTTTTATTGACTGTAAAACCATTTGAATCCAGCAATATGGGTACGGCTTCTTAGGAGAACATAATTTACCTGAACATGTAAAATCTTCTCTTCTTCAAGTGTACTATATTGCTTTTTTTTTTCCATTAAAACTTTGCAAATCGCCTAAGAAATATTTACATTATAAGAAATTTTACTCAGTTTTGGGTTGAATTCTTTCTAACAGTGATTTTATACTGGAAAAAAATTAAAGCAAATGTCACACGCTCAAGTGCATAATTTGCACATACAGTTACTGTAGTTGTAGATGCAACTATGGCAATTGCTTGTGTAGCTACAGTTAGTCTAGCATAAAAGTCTGTCTTTTGAGAACACAGTTTTTTAAATCTGGGTTATGTTTTCAACTGAACTTGAAGGATCAGGTACTTTGTTTATGTAAATGGTAGTCATGAGCTATTGTTGCTACTGGTTATGAAAGAGTGAAAAATCAACACTAAACTGTACAGGAGGCTAATAAGCTGTACATTTTAGTGTTTAGTTTTTAATTCTGGTGTCTGCCTCTCCACTGGAGTTTTTTTCCATTTCAATTTCTGTTGGAACCACTTCAGGCAAAATAAGGAAATTTTACTTTTTTTGCTTGACTTTAAGCTAACTTTTTTGACAATTTCCAAAGATGGTCCAAACACTGGGATGGAACATATACATACCACTCTTACCTTAAATTAACCTTCCTGATAACTACAGCTGTGCTTTCCACAGCACCAGTTTCAGCTAATACAAATTAATTTAAAGGGATCCTTAGAATTCAAAATGTGTTGATGTCCTAGATTTTAAAAATAGCCATTCTTAAATATTGTGCTTTTAAAAAAAATGCTGATGTATCTATTTCTTTTTAGACCTCTTGGGCCTGAAAGTCTGTTACTTCGAGGAGCAAGATTAAAAAACACAAAAGAAATTTTTGGTTTGTAGACATCGAAACATTTTTAACAGTGTCTTCTTAAAACATGTTGATGAATTGTGGCCTAATTTTCTCCCTCATATTGAAGATATTTTAACAGTCCTACTGGGGGTTACCTGTAGATGGGGTATGATTATGGCTGAAGGGGAGGAGACTATGACCAGAGAGCCCTGTGGGATATCAAATTCTGTCTTTGGGTTTAATAATGGAGTAATGAGTCCATTAGATAGGTGGCTCTGACACTGCTGTCTGTTTCCAGTGTTTAAGACCTACTCTAGGGCATTTATATTCTGACCTCTATACCCTTAATTATATATCAGGGAACAGTACAGACCTAACATTGAGCAGTATTAGCAAGTGCTAAAATTAATTCCAAAACTCTGCTTTATCATCACAGAATGCCACCGAAAAGTCTAACTAGCCTCACCATGCTGTCTGAGTGCACATTACAAGTAGCAACCCCTCTAATTTTTGTAGAAAATACCAAGCTGTACCTGAACAGAAACTGAAGTATTCTGTTTTTTTCAGGTGTTGCTGTGTATACGGGTATGGAGACAAAGATGGCATTAAATTACAAGAGTAAATCTCAGAAACGATCAGCAGTAGAAAAGTATGTACTGTATGTGTTATACTGTCTTATTTATGTGTAGAATCTAAACTCGGTGTTTCAGCAGTAATTAAAAATATTAATTGCCTATGTTTTTGTCAGTACATAGACAAAGAGAGCTATTGTAAATGCTAGGCCTTCTGCAGGCTGGTGTAATTGTAATTTAAATTTCATTTTTTAATACTGGTTATCTAATTTCATCACTTCATTACTTACAGCTTCATTTTGCAATAGTGTGCAAAACTAGTTTGATTGCTCGCTCTTACAAGGAAGGATTAGAATAATAAAAATAAGTCAGTTTTTCCTCTAAGGCTGTGTTGGGCAGTCCTCACACAGAGACTATCTAAGGCCATAATGCTACTCCAGAGTAGGCAGGAGGAGATTATTCAAGAGATGTGAGGTGCTCCTTTCACTGGGGGTTTGGAGTCTGTGTTTTACAGTAGTCCCAACCGTTGTCACTCTCTTGACACATCCTTTATTAGGAGGTTGCATCCTGCGCTTGCAGTGGGATGAACTCAGTCAAAGTCTTAATTTCTATCTCCTGAATTCTGATTTTCTCCCCTTCTTGTTCTGTGTGGGTGCTTGTCCCTGTTACATGGTCTGCGGTATTATTAGAGAAGATGCAGACTCTGAAAAGAATGTCTCCTCAGGTGTATATGGAGCACTAACTATCTGAAGATACTGGAAAATGCAGTTTGCCATGAAAAAAGTATTTTTTGTTTAATTTCTGGAAAAAATAATTTACCTAGAAACATTATGTGAGGGATATTAACTCCTTATACAGATTGCAAGTTCTATTTTTAATTCTTGGCTTGTTGTCTTTCCAGTCTAAAAGGCTGTTAAATGTACTGTTTTGACATAACTCTACAAATGGAACTCATTATACCAAATTTGTCTCTTAAAAATATTTAATTTGTTTTGTCTGTGCAAGTTGTTAAAAGTGCAGGCTGTCCTGCTGACATTCTTTTACAACCAAAGAGTTAATTACCATATATACTCTATCATAAGCCGGTTCATTTATAAGCCGACCACCCCAAGATGAATAAGTAAAAATGGAAATTTTTTATGACCGATTCATAAGCTGACCCTATAATTCAGGGGTCAGCAAACTTTGGCTCTCGGGCCATCAGGATAAGCTGCTGGTGGGTCAAGATGGTTTGTTTACCTCGAGGGTGTGCAGGCACGGAGGTAAACCTAAGTAAACAAGGTGTCCTGGTGTGCCAGCTGCTTACCTTGATGGGCCAGGACAGCAACTGGTGGGGAAATTTTTTGAGGGGGAGAAACTGGGGATTAGGGGAGTGCTGCCTAGGACCCCCACACTCTCCCCATTCCATCCCTTCCCACCTTATCTGGGGAGGGCCAGGGGAGGATGTCTCTGGCCTGGCTGGAGCTGCTCCGGCAGGCCGGGTGCCACAGCCTGCCAGCCCCAGAGCTGCAGCTGCTTCGGAGGCTGGGGGGAGAGCAGCGTAGCCAGAAGCAGAGAGGCTCTGGCCCCGCCTCTTCTCTTCTGGCTCTGCTGGCTGTGCTGCCTCTCCTTGCCCCCTCTGTTCGGGGGAGGGGCTGTGTCCCACCTCTCCCCCCTGTACCCGTTCATAAGCCAACCCCCTTCTCTGGTGGTTCCCTTTTTTACTTAAAAAATTCAGCTTATGAACGAGTATATACGGTGTACTAATGTAGTCAGACACAAACAAATCTGTGGGATGCACAAGAAGCTGCTGTATCTTTCCCTCCCGTCGTTTAACATTTCCCATGCACTGACATCAGCTCTGACCTTAATGAGTATTGACAGGGTTGAAAGGTGGTCACTGTCCAGTCAAGGTACTGACAGGCAATGCCGTGGAACTGCATTTTCAGGTAGCAAAAAGGGAGTGGCCTTGGATTGGATTTCTGTATTGGTCTTCCTCACTTCCTTCATATTCTGAAGTGGTATTCGGAGGAGAGGGTGTCCTTGGAACAAGGATAATAAAAGTTAATTCCCAAAACTCCAAACAGCACCTGTTTCAGGAGACAGATTTTGATAGTGTTACACCTTAATCTAACCTTCAATTTCCAATAACTGCAGAAATCTACTGTAATTTAGTATACATTCTAGTCAAATGTAGTATTCCATTCCTGTTTGCCATTGTTTCCATTTGTCACATAAAAACTTTTCTGTTCTTTGAAACAGACACACTGAAAATATTTGCCAACAAAACATTTTGTTATAGTTAAAATTTAACATTGCTTTCATACATTAAGGAAAAAACAGAACAGAATACACTGAAATAGTATTTTTGTGTCCTCCTAGGTCTATGAACTCATTTTTGATTATCTATCTAATAATCCTCCTTTTTGAAGCAGTCCTGAGTACAATCTTAAAATATGCATGGCAAGCTGAAGAAAAATGGGATGAACCTTGGTATGATCAGAAAACTGAACATGAAAGAAACAGCAGTAAGGTAATATGTGGTTATGTAAAACTACATATTGAGTAAATACACCCATAGATACTAATAGTATGTCTGAACCTGAGAATACTGCCATTCTTGGATTTAGGCATGGCAGCTGCATAGTCTTTCATAGATATAGTTGGAAATCAGTATTGCTTTAATTTAGCCTTTGGAGGAATCCAGCTTTAGTTTTAGTCCTGTTTCTGAAGTGGGGGAGCACAAACTGTCATTTCCTAGACTTTTTGTTTCTTTTGGCAAGGCCTAGTTTTTGATCGTTTTGGTTTTTCGTAGGGTATATTCACAAGGCTCTGTCACAGGGTTCTGTGTGTTCATCTCACATTGTTTGATGGTATCTTGCCCATCCTTTTATGTTAAAACAAAGGCATTTTTGGGATTTTGCCTATTTTGTGCACTGCCTGTTCCTGTGATTTTTATTATATTTTTTACTTTGGGAAATCCTGTCATGCTGGTATTCTTCAAGTAACTTCCCTTTGCCTGTAATTTCACTGCTTTGAAGACATTGCCAGACAGAATTCTCTTCCCTTTAGAGTTTGAAGGAATTCTTTGAAGAGATGTTCCATTGGATCTTATAGTTTACATCTCTGGAGGATATCCTTACTTCGTCATTTTTTTACTTTACTTTTATTTTAAATTTCTGACTTGTTTTGGGGGGCCTCCTGCTTCCCATGCAGTTCAGAAGCTTATAGGAAAGTTTGAGAGGGGTTGAAATTTTCAGAGGTACAAACTGGAGTTAAATGCTCATTTCCCACTTACTTACTTTGGGAGTTCGGCACCTAACTTGCCTTTGTAACTTTGGAAATCTCCCCTCTAGACTCTAAGGCAGTGGCAGTTGGTGTGTGCTGACTAGTCATCATACAAATATGTAAAAGGAACCAAATTGTTGGATTGAAGAGAGTTCTCCCAAGTTTCACACTGCTGCTGTAAAATAAAATGGAAGAAGATATGAGGAGCTCTCATTCAGGAACCTACAGCTAATGTTGTATTGGTACCTTTATTATAACACGTGACTTTCCCATGGGTTTATGATGTGAATGTTCTTCCAGATTGAACTGGAAAAACATAAACATCATCTCTTCCTGGATGTCACTTTTCTGTAAATTACATTTACTGTTAAGTTGAGTGTTAAACTTATCAAATGCTCTTGTACTAGCTTTAAAACAATCTTATTTTAAATTTTAATTTTGCAAAGTATTAATGAAGATGTTTCAAAATTGCTTAGTTACCATCATCTTAGGATCTAAAACTACTTAAAGAATCTCAAGTTTTTTGAAGTAGTCAGTCAAGTAAAGGTGTATTTTTTTTCTTAATTTGTATAAAGTAGTTGCAATATAAATGAGAAGAACTTCTGGAGCCATTGTAGTGTGTTGGGGATAAGTATTTACTAAGCCATTCGATCCCCTCATCCTCCCCTTCAAGGCTATATGTAACCTTGCCCCTTTCTTTGATGTCATTTCCTCCTACTTTTCCCTCTTAATCATCTCTTTTTCACTTTGTTGATCCCTTTATCTTTCTTCAGTTCTTATCAGCCACCCGCCCCTTTATATCTCCATTAAATATGAAGTTTTTTAAGAATTCCTTCTAGCTTCTGCCGCTGCCTTTTCCCCCAAAATATCTTCACACCCTCCATTTTCTGAGCTACTACACTGTACCATGACTTTGTTTATCGTGTTTCTTAGATTTGAAAATCTTTAGGGCAGGGAGCCTCTGTTTTGTAAATCACCATGTAAACTTACAGTGCTGATTAAATAGTTATGCCAACATTCCCTCGTTAGGCAGAACACTTTTTTTTATTAGCAAAATATCTACTACATTTCCACTCTATTCCTGCACATTGTTCTCCTACTCCAGTATATTTCAATGGAGTTAAAAGGTATGTTTCAGTTCTTCTTGTCTCAAATATCCCTTTTTAAGTTTTCAGACATTGGTAGGAATTTCCTCAAAGATAAGTTTATTGCTGAGATTGTCACACTAATTATCAAGATAATACTCAAAGAAACTAAAATTGCATTTCATCCTTGATTCACACCTTTTTCAAAGTATGACTGAACTGTGTTGTCATCCTTTAATATAGAAATTTCTAGCTTCTGTTACTTTTTAAAGCTACTTTAATGTGATCTTCAATATCAAGTGTAAATCATGAATACTATAGATAAATGGGTAACTGTGGAATATCTGTTGCTTTTAACTTGTTTTGCCTTCGTAACTTGTGGATTGTTAAAGTTTGTGATTGGCTGTTTTGTGCAGTATGTGATGTGAGTTGGTCACCTCAATCCAATTCCTAAAAAAAAAGTGTTTGCATTACAGAATCATCAGCACACTTAATATTGCACCCTCCTTTACAGTCTCAGCAGAGAAGACATGGATTGATGGGCTTGAGAACTGAAATATCCTCTCATCACTAAAGGCAGTCTGTCTGCATCAGTCTTAAAGACACATTGCTGGGGCACTGTGGTGAAGTCTGCATTGTTGCTACTTGTGTTGTACCTCTTCTGTGTATATATAGAGGACTTCAGTCTCCTCCAATACAGACAATCTGATACCTTTCATAATGCTGAAACACACTTAAGTGACCAAGTTCCGCTTAATGACTCTGATAATCCTTTCCTTCTCTCTCTCTCTCATAGATTCTGAGATTTATTTCAGATTTTCTTGCTTTTCTGGTACTTTACAATTTTATCATCCCTATTTCGCTTTATGTGACTGTTGAGATGCAGAAATTTCTTGGATCTTTTTTTATTGGCTGGGATCTTGACCTCTATCATGAAGAAACAAACCAGAGAGCACAAGTAAATACTTCAGATCTCAATGAGGAGTTAGGACAGGTAACAGTAATGTTCATTTTTTACTTTTTAAAAGTTTAAATATCAGTGTTAAACAGTAAGGAAAAGTATTAGTGACTTCATATTGACTCTATTTTGAGCAACTCATAGGAGTTTGAAAATAAGATCTGCATATCTGACATGATGGCAGAAATACATATTTGAAGTCTCTTTTAATGTTAGCAAAATAAGTTTGTGATATATGGGGAGATGGTAATAATTTTTCTGTATTAAATGTACTTTATTCCAATTTGTTTTCTTTTATATTACCCTAGGTGGAGTATGTGTTTACAGATAAAACTGGTACACTAACTGAAAATGAAATGCAGTTTCGGGAATGCTCTATTAATGGCATCAAATACCAAGAGATCAATGGCAAACTAGTTCCAGAGGGGTTGACTGAGGATTCCCCAGATGGAATTAGACTGAGTCTTGTAAGATTTTATTTTTCTTCAAACTGAATAAATGCTGATGAATATTTCAGTTTAAATATTATTTCTTGGTGTGTTACGTAGAAGAAGAAAAATTTCTGGAAGGATTTCTGGTAGTAAAAATGGTTACAGAAAGAGTGGTAGATGTAAGGCAGTTTGAGAAATTTGATTTTTTTAAATACCTTATTCTGTGGTACTGTAGAGTAATGCATCTTGTTTTAGAAAGATAAACTTGGCTTATGAACTGCTCTGTCTTTTTATAGATGAAAGAGGAAGAGCTTTTCTTGAAAGCAGTCTGTCTCTGTCACACAGTGCATATCAGTGCAGACCAAACCGATGGCATTGGTGATGGGCACTGGCGTGCCAATGGAATAGTGTCTCAGCTGGAGTACTATGCTTCCTCACCAGATGAGAAGGCTTTAGTTGAAGCTGCTAGCAGGTGAGTTCTAAGGCCAAAATTGTGACCGGCACAGCATGGCCAACAGCAGCTTCAAAAGTGAACAGGGAGATTTCACGGCCCTATGGCTAATTACTACAGTTTACTGCAAAGGGGTTTTATATATATCACACACCCACACACACCCCATCCAGGCATTTTTTTATATAGAGAAAGTTTTACTTCTGGATTAATTGATAGAAAGTAGGCAGCCCAGGGACATGGTCAATGGGGTCTCGACACATCGCGGTTCCACTGGGCCACTTAGAAACTTAGGCAGCTCACATCCTTCACAGGTAGACTATGATTATTAGCCTTCTAGCACAGTCTTAGACTAGATTAATAATGAGGCACTGAGACATTGCAGAATATTTTAATAACTATTACAATTAAATACTTAAATACTCTGGCTGCAAATGTCTGTTTTAATTCTCTAGTTTATAATACTCCAACCTTAAAATTGGATTGCTGTTTAATACTTTCATTAGTTATTTTAAAAATAAGTTAGGATACGTTACCAGGACCTGTGAACACTTTGAATCAGTTGATCAAGCTTAAACAAAGCAGACTGTTTTAATTATCATATCTGTGTTTTGTTAATATTTAGGAAGATGCTGGTATTGCTGAAATGCAGTTATAATTAGGCTTAGCAAATTAGTCTGTTACGGAATATGTAAAGTGTATGTTTAGAATAATAAAGCACATAGTATACTTTAAAGTAGACTAGATCTGTAGAAGATGTAGAAACCCCCACCCGATGTTAAACATTGGGTGGTTAAAAACATTTATAGAAACTAATTCTATCAAACTTAAATGGAGGGCATATTCCTCATGTTACTATGTTTCATACAGCGTTGCATCATCTTTACTACAAAAGAGGCATAGAAGTAAAGAGTATTTTTAATTTTCTGGAAATTAGATCTTTTTTCAGAATATGTAATACTTTTGCATTATTTAAAAAATGGCTCTTCCACAGACTCTCATGTTAATGAAAATAGTAGGCAAACCTGGTTTTTTTGTTTTTGTTGTTTTTTTGCACATTTTAGAGTTGGTGTTGTATTTACTGGAACTAATGGGGAAGGTATGGAAGTGAAAAGCCTTGGAAAACCAGAAAGGTATTTCTTTCATATCACATTTATTGTGGTTCTCAAAGGACAGAACATTAATTCATGTGGATTAGTATAATATTGTACTTTATATTATCTTTATCCTTCCTAGCTGGAAAGCACAGAATATTTTGTTCCTCTTGCTTTCCCCATAACTCCCTTTTTCTGAAACCTTTGCATACGATGTCCTTGAAATGGTAGTATTCAGTATTTTTTAATGAGAATTAAATGCATGTAACAATGGAAGGCGTGTGGGTGTGTATATATGAAGATGGCAACTGTCATACATGTGCATATTGATCATGTCTCAAATTTTTCAGCAAGCAGTTGAGAATATATGGATATTTGCATTCTCTGCGTTATACCGTAGAATTTTTTTTCTTGGTCTGATCTATCTTAGTAATAACATGACTGAAGTCAAAGTTTTCAAACCTCTTAACTTCCTTTGGAGCTCTTAAATAACATTTTCAAAAGTGACTTAGACACTTAGGATCGTAAATCTTATTGAAAGTAAATGGGCCTTAGGTTCCTAACTGACTTAGCACTTTTCCAAATGTTACCCCTTAAGTTAATACAAGATAAGGCAGCAAGCTAGCAGCTGAAAGTAATTTCCAGACCCCAAGCTAGTATTCAGTAAACAAAGATTTCCATTGGGAAAAAGAACATGGCGGGGAGGGATAGCTCAGTGGTTTGAGCATTGGCCTGCTAAACCCAGGATTGTGAGTTCAATCCTTGAAGGAGCCATATAGGAATCTGGGGCAAAAATTGGGAATTGGCCCTGCTTTCAGCAGGGGGTTGGACTAGATGATCTCCTGAGGTCCCTTCCAACCCTGATAATCTAACTCTCGCCAGACAGAGGCTACCAGTACACCACTGCTGAAAAATAGCATGTGAGAAAGCATGTATAATAGTCCCCATTTGTACATAGTATAGTTCTTATAGAATGTCTGGAGCAGAATAGGGGTTTGGGAGACATTTTTATAACTTGTATTTAGCTGTTTCCTACTGGCATTTGTTTCTAAGAAAAGCTGCTTTCCTTTCCCCTCTGTCTCCCCAGGTTTAAATTACTTCATGTTTTGGAGTTTGATCCAAATCGTAGACGAATGAGTGTCATCGTAGAGAGTCCCTCTGGTAAGCAGCCAGATCTTGCTCAAAGTTGTAATTTGTAAACTGCTAAATGGTGCATATGCTCAATTTTTACTCTGTTTTTTCTTAGGAGAAAAGCTCTTATTCACAAAAGGAGCAGAATCTTCCATTCTTCCTCACAGTAGAGGGGGAGAAATAGACAAAACAAGGATTCACGTAGATGAATTTGCTTTGGTAAGTCAAAATGTTCAAGATCTAAACCAACTAATAGATCTTGGTTGCTCGTGCTACTGCTCAGAAAACATAGTGGACGTGTACAAAAGAACTGTGGGCCTCTGTTATGTGGAAGGGGTATTGTATGTATGTGGCACAGCCTTTGCGAGATCTGAACCTGACACCACTAAATCAGAACAAATGAGTATGTCTTCTAATTTGGTTTGATTGATAACTTAGTGTAACTTATAAAACAAAAAAAATTGATTTATAGTTTAAAACTCATTCAGATTTAAATTTGGCAATTGCATCCTAAGAAGTCACTGTTACTTAAGCCAGTTGGGAACCCATTCGGTCCTTTTCTGGCTGCTGTCTTTTAACCAATCCCCTTGAATCTCTGGTCAGCTCTTTTTGTTCCTTCCAATTACAATATGTAGGGTCTTAAAGCTGCATTAGTGGCTTAAACCAACCAAAAGCCTTAGTCTTGAACAGATTAAACCACTCTATCTAAGGCTTTAGATGAATTTAAGATGTTTATGCAGCTTTAAGGCCCTAGGTAGGTTTAAACTAGGGAAAATGTTCAAGGAAACATAATTTAGGGCAGTGCTCTTCACTATTTTTGAAGTGGGGGCAATTTTGGGGAAAAACCTTCAACATGAGAGCCACACTAGCCTGACACAGATGGTTGAACGCATGTTCGACACAGCCGGTTGAACACTCTTTGTTGGTTGATATGGTAATATTATAGTTATTGGTAATATTGCTTGGAGTGCAGGAGAGGGTATGGGGGGCTGGCTCTTGGAGGGGGCTCAGGGCTGGGGCAGGGGCTTGGGGTGCAGGAGGGGGTGAGGGGTGCAAACTCTGGGAGGGAGTTTGGGTGCAGGAGGGGACTCCAGCCTGGGGCAGAATGTTCAGCTCCAGGAGGGGGCATGGGGTGCGGGCTCTGGAAAGGGGCTCAGGGCTGGGGCAGGGGCTTGCGGTGCAGGAGGGGGCTCAGGGCTGGGGCAGGGGCTTGGGGTATAGGAGGGGGCATGGGCGGCTGGCTCCGGGAGGCTGCAGGTTGGGTGGTGGAAGAGCTATTCAGAACCTGCCCCGGGGAACAGCACTTCCAGGAGCAGCTTGGGGCCGGGGCTGCCCAAAGTAAGGGACCAACATGCACTTGTGGCCCCTGGAGAGGCACGTGGCTCTGCGCGCTGTCCCTCTCTGCAGGCACCGCGTCCTCAACTTCCATTGGCCACAGTTCCCTGTTCCTGGCCAATGGGAGCCATGGGGACGGTGCTTGCAGGCAGGAGCAGCGTGCAGAGACCTCTGCTCCTCTCCTTACCCCTAGGGCTGTGGGGGGCGTGCTGGCCACTTCTGGGAGCGGCGTGGGGCTGGGGCAGTCAGGGAGCCTGCCTTAGCTGCAGCCTCACTACCATCGGAGAGCACGATTTGACAGTGAACTTCACTTAGGGTCCACGGGAGCCACCACTGGCTCGCGGGCCGTGCAGGAAAGAACACTGATTTAGGGGGACTAGTCAAGAGTGGAGAGGCACTTACATGGGGAGAAATTCTAAGATTCCATGAGTTCAAATGCCAGCAATTTGCAGGTGACACTGAGCTCTATTATTAACATTTTTATGCCAATGTCATCCTTGCCCCCATCTCTCCGAGGATCTAGGAGAGGAAGATTTGACTGAAGCTATACCCAAGCAAGGTAGAGGTTATGTTTGCAAGCAACAGGAAATGCTTAGAAAAGCTTCCAACCACACTGAGATCGTCTGTTGAGGGAATTTGTTCCCAAATCCTCAAAATAGACCACAGTCTGAGTCTTTCTAGACTCCTCAAGGATACTGAACTCTCATATAGTGCTGGCTGCGAAACTGACTAATTAGGAATCTCTAGCCTATTCTTTCCAATGACAGCTTTTCCTTAGCTGAACACTTTTGTTACCATCACACTGTACTACACAACTCAAAATGCATGTACAATTTTCTCATACCTGTGAGTATAATCTGCAGTGCTCTGTCACTAGTCAACATTTGGCCTGCTGGTGCTTTCAAAGTCAAATACATTCCTTCTGCCTCTTCCAGGCTTTCCATTATGTTTCCTTCCCTCAGTGTCTTCTAGTTATTTATTTTTTGTCTTGTATGGTGCTGAGCGCATTTTTGGCACTTAACCAAATTTTAGCTTGGTAGTAGTAATCTGCCTTATCTAAAGCAACTGGTCAGTTTTTTAAGGTGTCCATTATGTGTATTTTTATAGGATATAAATATTGTACTTGTACTGCTTTTCATATGCTTTTAAATCATTTTATGAACATTATTATCCCTGAAAACGTACGACATCTTGTTTGGTTGCAGAAAGGGTTAAGAACTTTATGTGTAGCCTATAGAAGATTCACAGCTGAGGAGTATCAGGAAATAGACAGACGCCTTCATGAGGCTAGAACTGCCTTACAGCAACGAGAAGAACGACTGGCAGATGTATTCAACTTCATAGAAAAGGATCTGGAATTACTTGGGGCTACAGGAGTAGAGGACAAGTATGTTTTGGGACTTCTGCTGATTTCTCTACAAAAACAAAGCAAGCTTCTGTTTTATAATTCCATGATGGTGCACCCTTCTTTGTAAAATTGTCCCAACAGAGTAATAGATGGCTACTTATCTTCACTTAAATAAATGCACACATACACTCAACGAAGTCTTAGATGTAGTAAACATGTTTTGCAACGTGAGACTTGGTAGTTCCAATAGTGTGCTATGTCCTTTACAGACAAGTTTTCAAATGTCTACCTTGTGAAGTGCATTCACAGTCAGACTGACTTAAATGTATGGTAAGGCTTCCAGATGCCTCCTGGGAAAAACCTGAAAAGTAAATACTCTTGAGGCCCTTCTACTTTTATGCTGTATTTTTTAAAAACTGTTTTAATTAGTCTCAAGATAAATTCTGATGATTCCCAATTTGAGGTCATAATCTCTTGAACAATAGATTGCTGAATAAAGTACTGTGATTTGTGTAAGATTATAATTTCAGGGTGCAGATAGAACTCTGAAAGGTTTTCATGTATTTTATGGAAATATTGCTAAAAGTAAAAGAAAAATAGAAAAAGATACTGAATATAGGAAACTAAAACTTTTCTTATAAAAGATTTTTTTTAAATATATACAGAAGATCTCAGCTTAAAAGGCTTTACTGCTGCAAGTTTGAAGTCATTTCACTTAGTAGAGGTAAACTTTAAATTGTACTTTGCTGAGGTCTTGATTAGACTGGGTGGAAATGAAATTGGCTGAATACATTTGTGAATAGTGTTAGGAAAACCCTTATTGCATCCAGATAAGCCAATTTACAGGTTAAATATCCTACCATATCATAACTGCCTATTTCAAATGTGATTGTGTACCTTTTTATCACACGCTTTGTTATGGTTAAATATTAAACCCAATCATAATGTGGACTGTTTCTTTGTAGTGTGTTCTACCAGTTAGTGAAGATGTTCTCTATTTTCAGACTCCAAGATAAAGTCCAAGAAACTATAGAGGCACTCAGATTGGCTGGTATCAAAGTGTGGGTACTTACTGGAGATAAGCATGAAACAGCTGTTAGTGTGAGTTTATCTTGTGGACACTTCCATAGGACCATGAACATCCTTGAACTTGTACAACACAAATCAGACAGTACATGTGCAGAGCAGCTGAGGCAGCTAGCCAGGAGGTAAAGTACCATATGTGGCAATCTGAATGATGTTATAACTCTGGATTATTTATTTTTTATTTCTCAAGTTTTATGACAATTAGTCATTTTAGTTTATTTACATGCCTAATATATAAACTTACTCTGTTACTAATAAAGCTGTTGCTTCTGAAAGTCTAAGAGACCTTCTTTTTCTCAACTTGTGTGATTATTTGTTGTGAATATAGTACTTGCTTACTGTAACTAAATTAATATACAATGTTGTTTTCAATATAATAATGACCTCTTTTTTCTGAATAGAATAAAGGATGATCATGTAATCCAGCATGGGCTGGTTGTGGATGGGACCAGCCTCTCTCTTGCACTCAGGGAACATGAAAAACTGTTCATGGAAGTTTGTAGAAATTGTTCTGCAGTGCTGTGTTGTCGCATGGCACCCCTGCAAAAAGCCAAGGTAAGTCAATATGCAATATTAATGGTTGTTTTCAAATATAAGAATGTTTAAATTTGTAAACTATATTGCATTGATTATGATGACATCCTGCATTCCAGAGCTTATTCTAAAGTTAAGTATTGTGAACTTCTTCTCAGAAGAATAGTTAGTATACCTGAAACCAGAGACATATTGCATAATAAAGGTTTGGTTCTCAAGCATTGGCTTAGCAGTTTGGTCATCTAAGAGCATTGTCTTTATTATTTACCTATTAAGTCTGTTTCAGTGGTGGTTCTGTCATTTGGGCAGCTGTATCACAGTGAAAAAGGAGAACATGAAATCTATGTGTAAAATTTAATTTCTAAATCTGTGCACCATTCACATCAGTTAATTTAACAAAATACCTCTTAGTAAGGATCCATGTGCAGCAGCTGCTTTAGTGCTACATACTGTACAGGACATATTCCAGTAGGTGGCTTCAAAGTAGCGGGACTTATGTGAACAGCCTGGCAGCCACAGCAGAGCAGTGGGGGATGCCGTTGCTAGTATCGCTAATTAATGAGTACATGGACAATTAAGCGTGATCAAATTAATGTCCCAGCTAAATTTGGACAAGGAGCCACTACAGGTCACTTATTCACTAGAATTCATGTAGCAGCATAATGTACTGGGTTTTGCTCATTTCAGATGTTTCAACAAAAGACAAAAGGAAAACATTCTAGAAACAGTCTTCTTACAAATTTTCTTGTGTTTTTTGTTTTCTGTGAAGTGTTTGTAGGATATCGAAGTGACTGTGACACCTGCAATACTTGTAATTACTAGTGTTTTGAGTATCTCAGCTCTTCAATGCTATTTTAGTAAAGACATAAGACTTTCTCAGTTACTGCTGACAGGAAGAGAGGCCAGTTCTATTAACCAGTAATACGGTTGAGACTCCTTCAAGGAAATCATTTCCATCTCACCTCAGTAGCTAAATGGAGAACTCTTCTTGGATTAAATTGGAGAAGCTTTATGAAGAAAGTACATCTGCAATTGTTAAAAGGTGTAAAAGATCTGGAAGTTTGTGTTGGGGGGGGGGGGGGAAATGAGGACTAGCTTCTGAAAGAATAAGATCTCTAGTGGTAATGTGCCTTCAGACTTTCTTTTTTTCTCTGAAGCTGTCCTGATTTCACGTCTACTCATATTTAGGTCTTCATTGAATTTTGTTCAGCACAGTTTTAATAAGCTGCTGGATATTCTACAACAGTGGGTAGTGGCATCTCTCTGGCTGGCTTGGTCCTATCAAGCACATGAATGAAGTTTGAACCTACTATGATTCTGTTCAGACTCTATAGAAGAAAGTGGTTGCAGAAGTACTAGTAACTTATTACCACTATCCAGCCCAGAAATCCAGATGTTTCCAAAATTACTGTCATGGGTGAAATGTCATGTTTGGCCTTGGCTTGTAAATGATCCTCTCAGGAATTCCTTTGAGTAAATGGGAGCATGGCTAACCATCATGATAGACCTGTTGCTCCTGAGAGAGATTATTTTTCTGCTTAACGTAATGGGACTGAAAATGGGTATATAATGTAAGAAAAAAACGTTGTCTAAAGAGCATCAGACACCTTTCCAATGTGGAACTAGTTTCTGGCCGTTGTGTAACATTATACCAATTAAAGGATACATGGAAATCAAAACAATTAATTATGGACCTGTTCCAATGTCCAGTGAAATCAGTGGGGTTCTTCTATTTAAGTGTCTGAAATCTCAGGAGAGGTTTGTTTCTTGATGATAAGATTCCCCACTGGCTGAGATTATTCACTGGCCTGATGATGATAGTCATATTACATATTTTGCTTGACTTGAAATTTTTGTTGCCAGCCTGCATCTTCAGAGCATAGCTATCTTCCAGTTTGGGGTCAATACCTGTTTAGTTGCTTTTGTATCTGTGAGGTACTTATTCTTGGCTACCAAAGAAGGTAGGTGGCAGCCAACAAGAATATTTTTTTACATCCTCTAGTTCCTATCTTCTCCTGCAAGTAGAATTTCCTTATTTCCTGCATCTTATCACAACCTATGTTAAAGTATCTTCTGATGGAACTGACTTGCCTTAGCCATCGAAACTAGTCAGATTACTCTGAAATGAGTACAGGATGAGGATAAACATGTTTTGTGGCAGCTTACTCTAGGCCTTTAAGGTTATATTCCTTCATTCATCATGCCATTCCTCTGCTTTCTTTTGCCCTGAGTGCATATTGATACATCAGGGAGTTGTATGATTTTCCGCTGGGAGATATTTTCTGAAAAGGCTTCTGTCTCCACATCCAACAACTTGAAGGCTCAGAACATCTGTAATTGTGTTTGTGAGGTTTATCCCTTTGAGTTAAAGCAGCAGTTCTCAAACTGTGGGTTGGGACCCCAAAGTGGGTTACAATCCCATTTTAATGGGGTCCCCAGGGCTGGCATTAGACTTGCTGGGGCCCTGGGCTGAATCTGAAGCCTGAGCCCCAGTACCTGGGACGGAAGCCCAAGGGCTTTAGCCCTGCATGGTGGGGCTCAGGTTACAGTCCCCCTGCCTGGGGCTGAAGCCCGTGGGCTTTGGCCCCCCTGCCCAGGGTGGTGGGGCTCGGACAGGCTCAGGCTTCGGTCCCCCCCTTGTGGGGTTGTGCAGTAATTTTTGTTGTCAGAAAGGGGTCGCAGTGCAATGAAATTTGAGAAACCCCTAAGCTAGAGCACTCTTTCTCCCCTACAGGAAATTAATCATTCATTGTTTCTTATTGGCAATGTGTCTGTTCCAAGGAATGCTTCTCAAGTAGGAGTATTCCTAGCTCTGGTTAGAGGGTTCCTGTTCAGAATGTGTTTTTTCTGTGTGCAGCAACGGTTTTTGAGGACCGCTGTTCTCAGGAATGCACGTAATTCTTGCATCCAGAGATACAATAGCGTTTCTCCATTTTACCTGTTCTGCAGTTGTCCTGCCCAGTAACTAAACTGGGACCACTCACTACCAGTAGACTTATTTTGCTTTGAAAAAGGAGGAACTATGTTTGTTAGTGTCATTCTTAATTGGCATTCCTGACGACTCTTTGACTTTCTCAGATCATATTGGTGGTTATCTGTCTGTCCTTTTAAGGTATGTTTCTTATATGAACTTATCCTTTCTTGCATCCCTTCTAGTACGTGAGAAGGGTGCAAGATTTTCTTACAGCAATGGTATGTTCTTCTGGCACAGCACATCCTTTCCATTGTCTGTGCTAAAATACATATTTGATTACATTAGCAATTCCTTTATTGCACTGTACTTAAGTAATCTGGGGACACATCTGTACATTTGTGTACTTTCCTTAGCTGTACTCATCATGGTTGCTTCTGTGGAGTATCTCACAAAAGTTTTAGCATTCCCTTCCAGGTTTCCTGTGTCTCCTGTTACATTACTAGTACCTTTCTAGGTTCTAGCCTTGCAATCAAAGACATTGGGGCTGCACCTCTCCTCCTGCACAAACCAAAGGCAGTTCAAGCTTGTCTAGAGGGTTTGGTCACACCCTTTATCCTTACACTAGACTGACTCTCTGCCTCCATTGGTGCAAACAAAGCAGCAGTTTAGCACCCCCTTCCTTTTCTATTGCAATCCTTAATGGTAGAGCAGTCCAGTTGGAGCAAACTGAAGATCAAGAGGTGCTTCATCTGCAAAAGAGACCTTTTCAGGAGTCACTTCTCTCCTAAATTACATGGAAAGGAGGAGTTTGTTAATCCTTTTCCATTAGCTTTTCCACTTAAGAATATATATACACATATATATACACATGTCTTTTGGATGACTTTTTTAGTATATACCCCCTACTACTCAACTTGATACTAATGAAAAAGATCATATACAAAGGAATGTAGGGCAGGCCATATGTTATTGCCTTCATTTTGAGCAGTGTTGATCATGTCTGTGGCCGTTTACCACCTATTCAGGTATTCCTATGCTCTCCTGTTTGTTGTAAGAAGTTTGGGAAGTCTCCAGGATTTTCTGAGTTATAAGAAACATCCTTAGATTATTTCTGGCCCCTTTTATGATCTGGTGATTATTTGGTGGATACTTCCCTTCAGCTATATAGTCTCCAAGAAAAGGAATCCGGTTAATACTGTAGGTTTCAGAGTAGCAGCCATGTTAGTCTGTATTCGCAAAAGAAAAGGAGTACTAGTGGCACCTTAGAGACTAACCAATTTATTTGAGCATAAGCTTTCATGAGCTACAGCTCACTTCATCGGATGCATTCAGTGGAAAATACAGTGAGGAGATTTATATACACACAGAGCATGAAAAAATGGGTGTTATCATATACACTGTAAGGACAGTGATCACTTAAGATGAGCTATTACCAACAAGAGAGTGGGTGGGTGGCGGGGGAGGAGGGGGTGGCAGAGAAAACCTTTTTTAGTGATAATGAAGGTGGGCCATTTCCAGCAGTTAACAGGAACATCTGATCTCCTCACTGTATTTTCCACTGAATGCATCCGATGAAGTGAGCTGTAGCTCATGAAAGCTTATGCTCAAATAAATTGGTTAGTCTCTAAGGTGCCACTAGTACTCCTTTTCTTTTTAGTTAATACTGTATTTTCAGAGAGATGAAATGTATTGTAATTAAGCTTTAAGAGCTGAGGGAACATCATTCAGTCCTGTCAAATTATATGAAGCTAAATTCAGAGAAATTAATCTCTCCTTAAATCTGTACATACCACCAGATAAAAGTTTTCTCCATAACCTACTCTGCATGATCTTGAGACAGTATTATCAGGGGATTCAAATTTTGGATTATTCCCTGGTTGCATTTTCAATTTTCCCTTTGTTCAGTAGGTATGGAATGTCTGTGTTCATCCTAGTTATTTTGTATGTCTTTTTATGTGATAAAATACCCATTTTATAGTAGATATGTTTTTATATTATAGTTTTTTAATCAGTAGCCTGTGAATTAATATGGGAAAATTGTGCTATATTCTTTTCCCACCCATATTGAAAATATGCTTTTCTTATGCTGTGTGGGATGATTTATGTTATACAGTTCAACTCCAGGATACAGTTGTGGTTTTTTTCCCCGTCTTTTTTCTTTTCTTATATTTCAAGTTTTTTAGCATTCAGACTTTTTTTCATTTGCCTGTATTATGTATACACAGCATGATCTGATGGATGAATGAGTCTGGTTTCATAGTCCCCATGAAAACTTTTAAGAGAGTTAACTCTGTAGGTAACCTTTGAAGGTACTGTCTATCTGTTACTCCCACTCCCTACTTGCATGAGAAGTAAAATTCAGTATTTTGGTTAGGTTAATAGTTGTAAAAGAGCAGATGGTTATGTGGGGTGACGGTTGTGTGTAATAGCCTGGAGGTGTGTGTAATTTCTGATTTCAGAGTATGTCCACACTGCAGTTGAAGGTGTGATTGCAGCTCAGGTAGGCATGCCTTGGTTAGCTTTAATGTAGACAGCACAGCTTAAAATAGCAGTGAAGATGTGTCAGCATGAACAGTGTAGCAACTCAAGTGTGTACCCAGAGCTACAAGTAGCTTATACAGCCTGTGCTGAAGCATGTGTCACCAGGTCTTCACTGCTGGATTAAAGCTCACATAGGTATGCCTACCCAAGCTGTATTCACATATTTGATTGCAATGTAGACATACCTTAAAAGTTGTTCGAAAGCAAGAGGCTTTTCCAGTAGAGTTATGAATTTGTGACATGTCCACTTATGTGACGTGCTGGAGATACTCTTATCCAAGCATGCTTATCCCTGGGGTTCACTAGTGGGTGCATTTATTTAAGCTGCTCATGAATTAGTGACAGATTGATAACCTGAAAAACTAATTTTGAAACCTCCCCTTCCCTTCTCTTTTTTTTTTTCTTTTTTCTCCTCCCTCCAGGTAGTACGACTGTTAAAAACATCTCCAGAGAAACCTATAACCTTAGCCATTGGTGATGGGGCTAATGATGTAAGCATGATACAAGAAGCGCATGTTGGCATAGGTACCTGACCTTTTTCAGAACTTTCACTTGATATAAATTACTAAGTTTGTGTTCTTAATAAAGCATTCTACTGTATGTAGAATTAGTCTGTACTTGTACTTTTAAACTGCTAAACTTTAGCCATTTTTACACCTGAAAATAACAATACATCAATCTTCCAATCATTTTTAAACACACTTGCAGTTGCATGTTATATGTCAGAATTTCAGTGGAATCTAAAATGTAAGACCATTCCCTTCTGAAGACAATATTTTAAATATCAATAGCTTGTGTCTGTTATATGGCACATTAGAATCTAGACCCCCATAAAGTATTGTTCTCTTAATTATCTCCAGTCGTTACTTAAGACACTATTAAATGTCTCTTGACACAGAATTGAAGCTATTCTCTCTATATAGGTAGCTAAAGTTTTGCCACCATTTCTTCTGTTACTACACATTGAACTTTAATTTTACATTGGTTAGTCACACCAATGTTTTCTTTCCATATGTCTGTTTTTCTTGAATCGCCATGTTGAAAGGGGGCCTTACCCAACGTCTAGTGAAAAGAATCCAAAAATTTAAAAATCATTTAGTTTTATGTTTCACTAATAGAATAATACTTTATCAAATAAGACTTCAGCCCATTTTACTAATCCATCTCTCTACTTTTTTGCAATATATAAATAGCAAAGCTATTAAGATTTAGATTTGGATATAATTACATGCTGCTTTAGATTGTCTTCCACTTCTTATCAAAAAGTGCTTAATTTTCAGTGCTGATTATATTTATTTCCTAAATTGCACCTTAATCTTGCCCATATACAAAAATGAAAGATAATAAAAAGAAGAGTAACATGAAAAGAATGAAAATCTTATTTCTGCAGTCATTTCTTCAAATCCTTCGTTTTCATTCTAGACCTTTCTGTTATATTCTGCATGAATAAGAGAGGTTGATTTTGCCATTTAAAAAGAACTCTAACAATCCTTTAATCATTTTTTATCTGGAAGTCTCTTGTAAGGCATCGTTCAGGATGCAAAAGCCCATTCCTGGGGTATCTTGGTTTGTATCTCATTTCTCTTACTTTCCTCATTTCATTCCTAAACTCACAAAATGTAACAAACTTTCTTCGCAAAGGGGGTTTTTACTTGGTTTCTTTTCTAATCCTTTTTGAAAGGTCCTACTGGGACCTCTGCTATCTATCCATTAAGAAGGCTATCTATTCAAAATCAGTATGGATTAATGGAGGTTTGCATTCCAAACATAATAGTTTTTCTGTTCCTTCGGCTGTTGCAACATGTGAACTGGTAACCCCAGATTTTTAAATTCCTGCTTTCTGTTTTATTTTCAACTTGTTTCCTCCTCTATACACACCTGAGGAATTGTACTTAAGGCACTAAATTGCCAAGCTGTTATAGAAATGGAAAAGATTATCTTCAGCCAGATTCTCAGGGGTGCTCAGCACCCGTAAGTGGGGGCATATATGGGAGCTGAGCTCTTGAATTGTAAAATGTAGGCACCTCGGTTAAATAGCCAAATTTTCAAAACTTCATTAAGATATCTAAATAGGAACTGCTGGATACTAATGAAAGTTTGACCCCTAGACTATACTCAACCCCACGCTTCCCACTGCCAGTGCAGAATTATACTTTGTCCAGTCTAGCTTTAAATGCTTCTAAGGAAGAGGCATTCTCTCTTTCTCTTGAAAGTCTGTTGCCGATCCACAGTTAAATATTGTAGATTTCACTGTTAAGACTTTTTTTTACTCTTACTGAGCTTAAATATTCTTTTCCTTAACTTCCATCCTCTTTTTCTGGAGTGAAAGTGGGTTATGATATACATGTGCCACTTTTCATTCTGTAAATCTTTTCATATAAACTAATCCCACTAGCCTCTTTAGGATTTCTGTAGCACCACCACCCTAAGAGTAACTGTAGGAAGAATTGTCAAAAGGTCTTGAATATCCTGATGCTCATCTAGTAGCAACTCTTTCTGTGACTAGAAAAAGCTACACAATGTTAATTTATTATGGTGACTGTGAAGAGCACAGGACAGCCTGCTTGAGAAATATACCAAGTAAATAGTAGATCGTCATCTATTGTTATAGTATGTGGTTAGTTCACATAAAAATCACGTAAGGAACATGAAATGATATACACTTGTCCAAGTTCCATTTGTAATTTGTGCAAATAATTCTAGCAGTGATACCTTTTACAACCTGTTTTTAGAAAAAAGCATCTCTCTAAAACTGAGCATAATAGGTAAATTCTAGTGTAGATGGTAGACTTGCACATTTTAAGTAAAAGGGTTTTTGTGATTCTGTATGCTTTATTGTTGCTGTGCGTTCCCTTAACATATTTCTTTGCTATAAACTGTCATTCAAGTATAAATACAGTAGTATTTTGGTCTAACTGGTCCAGGGGCCTTGAGTGAAGCTGATTCTCTAGTTGTCAGAAGTGTTACCTCCTATTGGTATCAATAGCTACTGGAGTCTTTTAAATGTGAAAGTGTATAGAAGATGTATATTTTCATCAATTTACTTTTTCTGCAGCATTTACTCTAATTTCATTTATATTTTATGTCCTAAATATTACAGGAATCATGGGGAAAGAAGGAAGGCAAGCTGTAAGAAACAGTGACTATGCAATAGCAAGGTTTAAATTCCTCTCCAAGTTGCTTCTTGTTCATGGCCACTTTTACTATATTAGGATAGCAACCCTTGTACAGTACTTTTTTTATAAGGTAAGTCTATTCAATGTGCCATTGATGTTCAGTAGAACTAAGCATTCCTTTTCCTAGCATAAAATGTGTCTCAGACTTTAATTCTTGCAGTTAAATCATCAGGATATTAAATATCTCCCATTTCGGACTATCTGGGTTTTATACAACAGAGCACACCTGAAATGAGAGACCCATTTTGCTTCAGAATTCATGTGGAAAACTGCCCACTGGAAGTATCTTTTAATATTGTGGCCGAGTTCACCTAGGCCAGTGTGCAGCTGTTGTTACTTTACCAACTTGAAATCCAAGTAAATTTTAAAATGAGTTAAAAGTCATCTTGGGTACTACCCTGAGCCCAGTTCGTTCCTCTGTCAGTTTTTGTCATCTACAGTCATCTTTTCCTATTTTTAAAAAAAAAAAAAGTTTATTCTTCTACAAGCGATTGTCCCTTTTGTATTCCAATGAGGGATATGTGCATGTGCCCTTGTATTGCCTTGTGGTTTAGCCCAAGGCAATAAAGGGCAGGCCTGACCGACCGCATCTCCAGTTCCTTCTCAGTGCCACGTGGTCCAAGTTGGAGCTTCTGCTGACCTCTTGTCCTTAGTGAAAAGAAAAGGAGTACTTGTGGCACCTTAGAGACTAACCAATTTATTTGAGCATGAGCTTTCGTGAGCTACAGCTCACTTCATCAGATGTAGCTCACGAAAGCTTATGCTCAAATAAATTGGTTAGTCTCTAAGGTGCCACAAGTACTCCTTTTCTTTTTGCGACGAATACAGACTAACACGGCTGTTCCTCTGAAACCTGTCCTTAGTGATGCACTTTTGAAAATTTTTACCAAAATACTTCTTATTTTTTTTATGGTTGTAATTTGATAATTCCTTGGGACACCACATTGGCATTTTTTCCCACCAAATTATTCCTTCCCACACCACAGTTCCTAGGTCTGGGTTCTGGAGTATGCCAAAGATGCCAAGATTCAAAGTCTGTGCTTTCTGCCCTGGCTCATTTTCCATCAGCGACAAATGCCAGTGCTGTTTGTACTGTTTGGGGGAAGTCCACATCACCTTCAGGTGCAGTATCTGTCTCTCCTTCCCTGCCTATCCATGGGAGGGCCAAGCTCTCTACCTCAAGAAACACCTCACGGAGGTTGCCATGGGGCCAAAGTCAGAACCTGGCCAGGGATCCCCCTTTGTACATCAGCCTGAACAATCCAAGGGTACTCCCCCTACCACAGAACTCCGTGTGGATCTGCCGCTACCAGTGCTACAGACTCCAAGTCGGGGTCTAGCCATCAGCCACAGAAATATGTGGAGAAGCATAGTAGTAAGTCTTCCTTTAAATCCAAGGAGGACGCTGCATGGTCCACAAGTTCCAGGCGTGAAGGAGCTACACGTTCCACGGTGCAGAAGAGACACGGGAGGCCACACCGCTTGCCAGATCGACCGGTCCCAGCACCAAATCCACATACCCCTCCAGCATCCTGTGAATTGTTGGTCCTGAGACGGATCCCTTTACTAGTTCCAGTCCTATCAATACACGGGTCATACCGTTGACTCCGGAGAGACTCAGAAGTGTTCCCAGCCCTCACAAACTGTTGGCTCTGGAAGGAGCGAGGTTTCTGCGTGTTCCAGTGCACTCACCTCTGCAGAGGGCTCCATCTCCTGCCCAACATCTCCCGTCTGCTGGCCGTACCTCTCTTAACACATCTTGTTCTGTTGGTAGTCCCATTTGTGCAAGATTCCGACTCCTCTGAATCTGAGGGATCTGGACGTTTGGCACAGTGTGCCGCTTCCATTCCAGAAACATGACTACCAGAGGGTTCTGATGGCTCCGTGGCAGTTTCCCCCTTTGCCTTACCCAAGAAGCAGATATCCGGCTCCTTGGGCACAAGTACAACAATAGGATCAATCGGGTTGGCCAAATTGGAGCTCCTGGCCCCAGTATTCACCTTCGGAACAGTCTTGTCTGGCTTGTGAGAACTCCTCGGTTTCACCACCCTATCTTTCATCCGGTAGATGTTTGGAAATGGGATTAGACAAGGCACCGATCGGCCCGGCTCTGACAGTAATGGGGGATCCAGGGAAGATTCCCTTTGTCGTCTCCAGACGCGGCTGTGTCGTCGACACTGACCTCCCTGCTTGACGACTATCGTCAGTTTCAAGAACTCCTATGGAGAATAGCCAATACCCTTGATACCCCACTGGAAGAAGTGCAGGACACTTACCACCAGTTACTAGACATTCTCCACACATCAGTACAGGCAAGGGTGGTCTTATCCGTCATTGATGGGTTTCTTCAACCAGCACACATCATGTGGCATACCCTGGCCACATGTGCATTGACCGGAAAGAGGGCCAAGAAAAGGTACTACATTTTCCCCCCCCCTCCTACCCCCCCAGGGTCAGAATTTTTATTTTCACACCCTCCACCTAACTCCATGGTAATACAAACTATGTTGGAGTAGACCAAACAACAACACCCATGCTCCATCCAGCAGATTGGGAGAGTAAGAGACTGGACCTCATGGGTCAGAAGGTCTTCTCCTTGACTGGACTACAATTCTGGATCTCTAACTACTTGGCACTGATGGCTAAGTATACACTCTGGCCGGATGGAGAAATTTGAAGATAAATTACCTCAGCAGGATCGTACTCCGTTCCAAGCAATTTTACAGGAAGGCAAGTTGGTGACCAGGACCATACTTCAGGCTGCAGTTTATTCAACAGACACACCCTCTCTTGTATTGGCAACTGGAATTGTCATGAGGAGGTAATCCTGGTAACACTCCTCCTCAGGTTTGCCTAGAAAGGTACAGAAAACAAACAAGGACCTTCCCTTCGGTGAATCACACCCCTTCAACCAGAAAACTGATGATTTCTTACGCTCGCTTAAAGAACCAACTTATGATCCTGGGGTGTATATACACTGGCACCAAAGAGAAAATGTTATTACCTACCACCAGCCCAGTGCTATAGAATTCCACACTTCTACCACCAACAAGCCTACGAACCTTTTCAGAAGCAGCCTAAGGTACCCAGAACCCATCCACTGTTCTGGCAGCACAGACCTCCGCACAACACACTAAGTCATAGCAAAAGCGGTATTTCTTAGTGCGCCTAGAGAGACATCAACCACTCCGTACACTGAGCTCTTACCCTCCACCCCTTTCAGGGATCGTCTCAAACCCTTTCCACTAGCTTGGAGAGCTATTACAACAGACAAGCAGGTCTTGGACATCGTTCAGTGGAGCTACACTGTGGTGTTTATGCCGACACCTCCTCCACATCCCCCACCCTGACCACCCAGAAGAGGTTTCTCTCACAACAGTATTCTTACCCTAGAGGGTGGACTGCCTTCTGCAGAGAGGAGCAGTGGAGCCAGTCCCTGCAGCCTTTCAGGACACAGGATTATATTCCAACAATTTTCTGGTACTGAAGAAGAAAGGTGGATGGAGACCAATTTTGGATCTCTGACACCTCAACCGTTTGATTCGCAAGCCATAATTCCATGTGGTCACCCTTGCAGCCATCATTCCCTCACTGGAAAAAGGCATCTGGTTTACAGCTCTATACATGTAAGATGCCTTCTTCCATATTGGCATACATGCGACCCACAGAAGGTTCCTGAGGTTCAAAATACACTAAGTGCACCTGGTATTGCTCCAGGGGAGGACTCGGTGCTCACTCACTGGGCAATGCTCTGGTCATCAGTTGGTCAGACCAGACGAACTACACCTTCACCCATACACAGACTCCTATCCCGCATTCTCCATGAACTCTGGCAGGAGAGAGCGTCGGCCATTCTGATCGCTCTGTTCTGGCCTCGCTAATTCTGGTTCCCTCTTCTCCACATATCTAAACAACCTCCACTCCTACTACAGACATTTCTAGAACTGCTGAGACAACACAACATTTGACTCAGGCATCAAAATACATGGATACTACACGTGACAGCATGGGTTTTGGATGGACACCTCCATTAGCACGAGAATGGTCATTAACAGTGCAAGACATCCTCTCGAATAGCTGAAAGGACTCCATAAGGTGATCGTATCAGGCCAAATGGACATACTTCACCTGCTAGGCCCAACAGTAAGGTCTTGCACCCGAAGCTGTGCGCATCCCTGTGCTCTTAAACAGTTTCCTCCACCTGAAAACCTCGGGATGTGCTCTCAGCTCTGTCAGAGTGCATGCAGCCACCATTAGTGCTTTCCATCCTTGAGTGGAAGGGCGTTCAATTTTTACCCACCCCTTGACTGCCCGATTCTGGAAGGGCCTTTTGTGTAAATATCCACTCATTCAGCCTGTTGTTCCCCAGTGGGACCTCAGCCTATTTCTTATCTCTTTAATGAATGCTCCCTTTGAACTGCTGGCCTCCTGCCCTCTCTCTCTCTCCTCTCCATGAAGGTTGCTTTTCTTGTTGCTATTACCTCAACAAGGAGGGTTGGTGAACTGAGAGCTGTGATGGCACCACGTTCCATAAAGACAAGATCTCACTGCGACTGCATCCCAAGTTTCTGCCAAAGGTGGTTTCCCAGTTCCACCTCAACATCTGACTACCTTCTTTCCAAAACCACATGCCTCAAATGAGTAATGGCAACTTCCTTCCCTCAATGTGTGTACAGCCCTACCTTTTTATCTACAAAGGACAAAGCCATTCCAGAAGTCTTCCAGGCTATTTGTCACCATAGCAGAGAGAATTAAAGGACAGGCCATTTCCACCCAGAGAATCTCTAAGTGGGTCTCAGGGTTCATTGCACACTGCTATCAATTGTTAGAGCACTCCCCTGAGATGGGATATGAGCCCATTCCAGGAGTGCGCAAGCATCAACCACAGCCACTCCTCACGACATGCCTCTTGTGGACATGTGTAAGGCGGCCACGTGGAGTTCAGTACACACCTTTTCCTCTTGCTATGCTCTGGGACGTGATTCTGTGATGGACACCTCATTCAGCACAGCAGTCCTCTGCTGTATGATTCCACCGTCTTCCTCACACCATCCTCTCTAGGTACTCCTGGTCAGTCACCTTCAATGGAATACAATAGGGACTAGCATTTGAAGAAGAGGAGGTTACTTACCTGTAACTGAAGGTTCTTTGAGATGTGTGGTCCCTCTCTGTATTCTAGGCCCACCCTCCTTCCCCTCTGCTGTGGATCTGTAGGTCTGTGGTGAAGAAGAAACTGAAGACAGTCGGTCCACCCCACCCTTTATCACCTCAGGCGAAACAACAAGGCAATACAACGGCGCATGTGAAGGTCACTGAGCAATACTACTTTGAAAAGCTCTGGCTCTGGGCACATGGTGCATGTGCATAAGCCTCAGAAGAATACTGATAGGGACCATATATCTCAAAGAACCTCCACTCACAGATAAGTAACCTCTTCTTTCCTCTCTTGCTGTGTGAAAGTGCCATACCAACAGGACACTGACTATAGAGGAGTCGGAGTGAAAATACTCTGCACAAAGTGCTGTTAAATGCCCAAGTAAACAAGCTGGGATGGAAATTGAGATTTTTTTATTATTATTATTATTCTCACATCTTTCAACAAGGGCTTGTCTACACATAGGGCTGGTCTATACTAATGCTGTAAGTCAGCCTAAGTTACGCTACTTCAGTTACATACGTTATGTAACTTAGGTCAACTTACAGTGGTGTCTACACTGCGCTTTGTCGACAAGAGACACTCTCCCGCTGACTTACCTTCCGCCTCTCGGGGAGGTGGAGTACAGATGTTGATGGGAGAGTGCTCTACCATCAACTTAGCTTGTTTTGACCAGACCCGCTAAATCAACACTGCTGCATCGATCACAGAAGTGCCAATTTAGCCGGAAGTATAGACAAGCCCACACACAGTTTTTGTACTGCTATACCTATATCTGTTTAGAAACCTGTATCATAGAATCATAGAAATATAGGGCTGAAAGGGACCTTGAGAAGCCATCAAGTCCAACCCCTTCTGCTTAGGTAGAACCAAGAAAACCTAGACCATCCTTGTCAAGCATTTGTACAACCTATTCTTAAAAACTTCCAATGATGAGGATTCCACAACCTCTTTTGGAAACCTATTCCAGAGCTTAACTACCCTTAGAGTAGTACCCTTAGAGTTAGAAAGGTTTTTTTCCTAATATTTAACCTAAATCTCCCTGGCTGCAGATTAAGCCCATTACTACTTGTCCTACCTTAAATGGATATGGAGAACAATTTATCACAGTCCTCTTTATAACAGCCCTTAACATATTTGAAGAGTATCATCAGGTCCCCCCTAAGTCGTCTTTTCTCAGAAGTAAGCATGCCCAGTTTTTTTTAACCTTTCCTTGTAGGCTGGGTTTTCTAAACCTTTTTTCCTATAGTTAAAGCAATACAACCACTGAGTCTGGACACAGTTATATCAGTGGGAAAGGTGTTTATATTGGTGTAAATTATTCTCATAAATATATTGAATCTTAGGTGATACCTGTGAGAATAGTAGATAGTAAGATGATTATGTTTAAATTGAACCTTAATTCAAAAACAAGATCTGGTGCAGGGTGAAGCTTATTACTTTGCTTTCCAAAGTGGAATGCCCGCTTCATAGAAGTCATTTTTTTCAGGTCTGAGTGTTGGGGGCATATACATTCTAGGACTAACAATCCTTTTCATTTTTGTTTTTCAGAATGTATGCTTTATTACACCACAATTTTTATATCAGTTTTTTTGTTTGTTTTCACAACAAGTAAGTATTTGATGTTTAACTTCTTTGTATATGGGAGGGGATGTTAAATGACTAGATAAATGGGGAGGAAAGCAGTAAACTTTCTGCAGAAACTTTGTACGATTTGGCAGCTGAGTAGGAATTTTTCTTTTTGTAAATTGCATATTCTTTAGCTTGTTGCTTTATTCTTTTTCAGATATGCAAAAATATATTAAATGATATGATTTTATTTCCTTTATCAAAAATGTCTGGCTTTTAAAAATAATCAGCCACCTGTTTCTTAACAGGGCACTTCAAAAAAAAAAAATAGCTTTCTCTTCAGAAAAAGTGTCTGCTGTGTGACAGCTACTGTCCCACAATAACTGTATGAATCAGTAGAGCAACTTCATGGATATTTTATTTTTCTCTTTTACCTCCAAAGTTTGTCACTTCTTTAAACTGAATTGATGAGCTTGTTTTTCCCATGTCTAAAGAGAACATAATTGTGGAATGAATAAAATTACACTATTGACAACCCATTTTCTCTGACCAAAATATCTCATTTTTTGAGGGCATTTTTAACTCTTTGTAGTGCCTTTCCCGCATTATGGACAAATCAGCTTCTGCTGTACAAATGATTGACTTCAAGTGAACAACGCATTTAAGTATTACCTTAAAAATAGCCAGCCTCCATTTTAATGTTAATGGTCAGTAAAAAGCAAGGTAATTTTCTAGAACAAATCTAAAAAGTTCATTATGTCAGTGAGTTACTGTTTTCCACCCCAATTAAGTCACTTCTGTTTATCTGTTGTAAATTATTATATAGCTGTACGGAGTTTATAAAATAGCAGTTGCTAGAGGTTGGGGATCTGAACTTTTAAAGCTTTGGGCCATGCAGATTTCATCTCATGGGAAAGTGGTCTGGAGGACAGTGTGGAGCAGAATTAGGCACTAGTGGCTGAAGATCAGAAAACTGGGCCAGTGATGGAGGTCTCATTGTCTGCTCTGCACCACCTCTGACATCAGTTCCTGCACAAATAGCAGATTTTATTGTTAACATCATAAGTAGCCTGTTTGTTTTTTTTCTTCCAATATCTAGTACATAATCATAAGGCTTTTAAAAAATGTAATGGTTTACTTTATGCACCAAGATTTGTTTAGGTAATTGGTTTTTGCATTTGAATGTCCCTGCTTTTATTGCTTACATGTAGTTTGTGTGTAAATTTAATCTTCAGATTATGCCAGTTTCACACAGTCTTCAACTTTACAAATCTTTGATTAGATTGTTTGGATATCTGTCAAAGCCAGTCATGTTACAAATCAGAGATTGTGGGAAAACACACATCCTCATCCTCCTCTCCGCCCCCCCCCCCCCCCCCCGGCACGGAATCAAAGGAGAGCTAAAAATCTCTCTTGTTCCCTCTTGGGAGTATAAATTCTATTCTGAAAACACCATCCCTTAGTATCCTGAAGACTAAGGCCAGGTCTACACTATAAACTTACATTGGTATAACTGCGTTACTCGGATGTGAAAAATCCACAAACCTGAGCGACACAGTTATACTGACTTGGGGCAGCCCGCACTGGGAATGCGAAGGGCAGGGCAGGCTTCAAAAGGGAGCGCAGATACTCCCAAGACTGGTGGATAACACTGAAATTAAACCTCCCAACCAGTCACAAACTGTGCTTCTGATCCCCACACTGGTTATCAAGAAGCAAAAAAAGAAATCGCACAGCCCCCTTATTGCATTCCAGTTCTCCGGTTCCCAGTTAATACATAGGTCCCGTACAGTGAGATGTTATTTTAAAAACTCTGCTCACATATACAAAATGTTCTGCTGACCCCAAAGGGTCAGCTACTTTACCAGCTCAGTATAGGTTTGGATCTTACCCAAAATACCACATTGTCAGCCAATCCTTTAGTGTCTAAAACTAAAGATTTATTATAAAGAAAGAACAAGAAGAGAGTTGTTAAATGGTGAAACAGTCATATACATACAAAGACTTCAAAGTCCATATATCAGGTTCCTAGTAGTATTGGTGAGTTTGCTGGCTTGAAAGTCCCTCTGGAGCACATCAACAGCTTGGATGGGTCATTCAGTCCTTTGTTTAGAGCTTCATTTGTAGAAAAGTTACTCCAGAGGTAAGAAGCAGGACTGAAGACAAAGTGGAGAAGATGCAGCTGCCTTTTATAGTCTTTTGCCATGCGGCGTGTGCTTCCTTTGTCACAAACACAAGCTGCCTAGCACATGGCTCGAGGAAGCCTTAGAGTTCTGTCCATAGGCATGCCTTGCTGAGTCATAAGGTGTATCCCTTGCCTTCTCTCAATGGGTCAGTTGTATAGCTGATGGTCCTTAATGTGCCATCAAGCAGGCTATGCAGTGCTGATGCCAAATTGTCTGGGGATGTCACCCAGAAGCATAGCACAAGTTTTGTAATACAGACATACATACATATCCACTTAAATGTATACCCCAAATGAAAAAAAAAGTAGTAAGAGAACCAGAAAAGAGCCACTGTGGCTAAACAACAAAGTAAAAGAAGCAGTGAGAGGCAAAACATCCTTTAAAAAGTGGAAGTTAATTCCTAGTGAGGAAAATAGAAAGGAGCATAAACTCTGCCAAATGAAGTGTAAAAATATAATTAGGAAGTCCAAAGACTCAAAAAGTAATAGCAAAACAAATGTTAAGTACATCAGAAGCAGGAAGCCTGCTAAATAGGCTGCTAGTGGGGCCACTGGACGATCAAGATGCTAAAGGAGCACTCAAGGACAATAAGGACATAGCGGAGAAACTAAATGAATTCTTTGCGTTGGTCTTCACAGTTGAGGATGTGAGGGATATTTCCAAACCTGAGCCATTCTTTTTAGGTGACAAATCTGAGGAACTATCCCAGATTGAGGTGTTATTAGAAGAGGTTTTAGAAAAAATTGATAAGCTAAACAGTAATAAGTCACCAGGACCAAATGGTATTCACCCAAGAGTTCTGAAGGAACTCAGATGTGAAATTGCAAGACTACTAACAGTCTGTAAGCTATCATTTAAATCCGCTTCTGTACCAAATGACTGGAAGATAGCTAAGGTGACACCAATATTTAAAAAGGGCTCCAGAAGTGGTCCCGGCAATTGCAGGCCGGTAAGCCTGACTTCAGTACCAGGCAAACTGTTTGAAACTACAGTAAAGAACAAAATTGTCAGACACATAGATGCACATTGTTTTTGGGGGGAATAGTCAACATGGTTTTTGTAAACGGAAATCATGCCTCACCAGTCTACTAGAATTCTTTGAGGGGGTCAACAACCATGTGGACAAGGGGGATCCAGTGGATATAGTGTATGTAGATTTTCAGAAAGCCCTCACTAAAGGCTCTTAAGCGAAGTAAGCAGTCATGGGATAAGAGGGAAAGTTCTCTCATGGATTGGTAACTGGTTAAAAAATAGGAAACAAAGGGTAGGAATAAATGGTCAGTTTTCAGGATGGAGAGAGGTAAATAGTGGTGTCCCCCAGGGGTCTGTACTGGGACCAGACCTATACAACATACTCATAAAAGATCTGGAAAAAGGAGTAAACAGTGAGGTGGCAAAATTTGCAGATGATACAAAACTACTCAAGATAGTTAAGTCCCAGGCAGACTGCAAAGAGCTACAAAAGGATCTCTCAAAACTAGGTGACTCGGCAACAGAATAACAGATGAAATTCAGTGTTGATTAAATGCGAAGTAATGCACATTGGAAAACATAATCCCAACTATACATATGAAATGGTGGGGTCTAAATTAGCTGTTAACACTCAAAGAAGAGATCTTGGAGCCATTGTGGATAGTTCTTTGAAAACGTCCACTCAATGTGCAGTGGCAGGTAATAGGTAATAAGGTAATTAAATAGGTAATAAGACAGAAAATATCATATTGCCTCTATATAAATCCATCATACACCCACATCTTGAATACTGCATGCAGATGTGGTCGCCCCATCTCAAAAAAGATATATTGGAATTGGAAATGGTTCAGAGAAGGGCAACAAAAATGATTAGGGGTATGGAACAGCTGCCATATGAGGAGAGATTAATAAGACTTTTCAGCTTGGAAAAGAGACGACTAAGGGGGCATATGATAGAAGTCTATAAAATCATGACTGGTGTGGAGAAAGCAAATAAGGAAATGTTATTTATTCCTCATAATACAAGAACTAGGGGTCACCATATGAAATTAATAGGCAGCAGGTTTAAAACAAACGGAATCAGAGTGGTAGCCATGTTAGTCTGTATCAGCAAAAAAAAACAAGGAGTACTTGTGGCAGATAATGCACAGTCAATCTGTGGAACTTCTTGCCAGAGAATGTTGTGAAGGCAAAGACTATAATAGGGTTCAAAAAAGACCTAGATACATTGATGGAGGATATGTCCATCAATGGCTATTAGCCAGGATGGGCAGGGATAGTGTCCCTAGCCTCTGTTTGCCAGAAGCTGGGACAGGGGATAGATCTCTTGGTGATTACCTGTTCTGTCCATTCCCTCTGGAGCACCTGGCATTGGCCACTGTCGGAAGACAGGATACTGGGCTAGATGGACCTTTGGTCTGACCCAGTATGGCCGTTCTTATGTTCTTCTATCCATAACCCAAAATACAAAGGTGATACAAAACACACAAATGAGATTATCATATCTGGCAAATTGTAACATCTTTGCAGATATCTTACATGGCATATCTGGCATAACTTATTGCAATTTTACAATATTGGTATTCATAATATCCTAAAGTGTTCCCCAGATTCCATACAACGTCATGCTGATCTAACCTCCAGAGTAGACAGCACTGTTTTGATGGGAGGGTTTCTCTGAGCAACATAGCTACCGCCTCTCATGGAGGCAGCTCAGCTATGCTGATTGGAGAAGTTCTCCCTTCGGCGTAGCGCCGTCTTTACTCAAGCACTACATCGGTGCAACTGCACCAGTGCAGAGGCGCCACTGAAGCGTTTTTAAGTATAGACCTGCCTGAACTTGGAAGATTACTTCACATTTGCATAGGAAAGAATGATCACAAATGTCCAAGCTAGAACTTGCTTAAATTATTAATTCTTCGGGGTAGGGGACTGAGTTTTTGTTCTGTTTGCACAGTATCTATCACAATGGGGTCCTAGTCCATAACAGGAACTCCTCGGTGCTACAGTAATACAAATAAAAAATAATTGTAATAGGATTTAACACACAGTGGAATGCACTTTCATGTATACACTGTATATTAAAACAGATTTAAATAGTGCAAATTCACATGAGATTAGGTGGATTTGCTGCTACTGTTGCTTTTATATATCTGTTCTGAAACATGTCACTCTTTCCATTTTTGTATTTAAAAACTTAAACTAATTAAGTGTACTTCCATTTACAGACGCTCTATGACAGTGTGTACCTGACTTTATACAACATTAGTTTCACTTCTTTGCCTATTCTGATGTACAGTCTTTTTGAACAGCATGTTCACCCTCATGTGTTACAGAGCAAGCCAACACTCTATAGGTATGCATACCCTTTGTAACTAAATGTGGACCTAGTAGAATGTCAGTAGTAAAACTTACTAATAAAGTAAAATAAAGTGATGTCTTCTGTAGTTATAGCTTAATGTGCTAAAATTACTGCATTTGCTTAGATTCCCCAGTATTTGTATAACTTAACAGCCTTCAAGAAAAACTTGTAAAAATGACGTTTCCAATATTAGATTAGTTTCCAAAAATAGTTTTGTGATTCAACAGCCACATCTGTTATATCCATTCCCATGTTAAGATTTGAAAAGACTGAACTCTTCTTCGAATGATGGTGGTCCCTATTGTATTCTACTGAGGGTTCACACATGCGAGCCATGCATCCGGAGCCAGAGAATCTGAAAGCAGAAGTGTCCATTGGTTCGTGCATGTGTTCTTGCTTCTCCTCATGGTTTTGTCTGAGGTGATAAAGGGTGGGGCGGACCGACTGCATCTCCAGATTCTTCTCACCATCGCATCGTCCAAGTTGGAACTACTGGTGTCCTCTCGTGTGTGACACACCTTAAAAAGTGTAGAGTTGTATATCATTTGATTTTCTTGTACTATTTGCTGATTTTACTGTTTTAACATAGTTTTAGCTTTTTAGTAGTGTTTTCGAGTAGAACTGAGACTTTGGGGGAATCTGTTTACTGGTTACCCTTCCCACCCACATACCCACGTGTGGGTACTGGATTATGCCAAAGACTCATGGATTTAAAATCTGTGCCTCCTGCCTGCCTGCCTTCTCGATTAGCGACAAACATCTGTGCTGCCTCTACTGCTTGAGAGAAGCCCACATTTCATCCAGGTGCGGTATCTGCCAGTCTTTCCCAAGCTGTACCCGTTACTCCGTTGGTCGGACCAAATTAACTGCGCCTGTCCTCCTTTACCACTCCTGCCACTAACACTCCACAATATCAGGCAGGAAAGAGCCACAGTCATCCTGATCATTCCATTCTGGCCAAGACGATTCTGGTTTTCCAACCTTCTCTGCATGTCAGCTCGTGCCCCACTTCCTATTCCCACTTTCCCTGAGCTGCTAACATGACACAGTGGCAGCATCAGACATCCCGATCCACAAACACCTAAACTCAGAGCATGGTATTTGGATGCGGGAATCTGCTCTAGAACAAGAGTGCTTGTCGGAAGTGCAGGACATCGAGCAGAAGGAAAGCGTCCACTAGGCATTTCTACCCGGCCAAGTACAAACGCTTTGCCTCCTTGGCCGAACCGAAGGTGCTTTCCCCAGAGGAAGTGGAGATTCCCCTTCTTTTGAATTACTTCCTATCCTTAAAGATATCAGGGCTTGCCCATAACTCTCTGAAGGTCCACCTAGTGGCAGTCAGCACCTTCCATCCCCCCAGGGAAGGATACTTCCTATTTACACTTCCGTTAACTACTAGGTTGTGGAAAGGCCTCCTCTGAACGTTTCCACCTGTACAACCTATTGCTCCCCAATGGGACCTCAACTTTGTCCTGTTGACACTGATGAAACAATCCTTTGAGCCGCTGGGTTCATGCTCTATGTCCCTTCTTTCCATGAAAGTCACCTTCCTTGTGGCTATCACTTCAGTGAGAAGGGTAGAGGAACTTGGGGCCATGATGGTGGACTCCCCTTTCACCACTTCCCATAAAAACAAAGTCTCCCTGTGCCTATATCCTGAGTTGCTACCAAACTTCATCTCTGTTTCATCTCAGCCTTGCGTGCTTTCTTCCCAAAGCCAACCATCCGCTTGCCTGCTTTCTTCCCAAAGCCTCATGCCTCAGAAGAGGAACGACAACTTCACTCCTTTGACGTATGATGGGTTTGGCCTTTACCTGCAGAGGACAAGATTGATCAGAAAGTCCTCTAGATTGTTTGTTGCAATAGCAGAGAGAGTTAAGGGCCAAGCACACAGAGAATTTCCAGATGGATTTCTGGGTGCATTATACTATGCTATCAGTTGTCAGTACTGTCTCCGCTCCTCAGGGTGAGGGCCCATTCCATGAGAGCCCTGGCATCCACCATGGCCACCCTCCACAATGTGCCACTTAGAGAATATGTAGGGAGGCCATGTGGAGTTTGGTACATACCTTCACTATATGTTACGCCTTGGTGTAGAACTCTGCAGTGAATGCTTCGTTCAGCACAGCTGTCCTCCACTCAACCATTCCATCCTCATCCTCACACCCTTCTCCAAATTAGGTACTGCTTGTTAGTCACCCGAGGTGGAATAGAATAGGGACCATCACTTGAAGACGAGGAGGTTACTTACCTATAACTGGAAGTTCTTTGAGATGTGCGGTCCATTTCTATATTCCACATCCTGCCCTCTTTCCCCTCTGCTGCGGATCTGTTGGATTTGTGTTGGTGAAGGAACTGGAGACACGATTGGTCCGCCCCATCTTTTATCACCTTGGACAAAACCATGAGGCGAAGCAAAAGCACATGCACGGACCAACGGACACTACTACTTTCAGATGCTCCGGATGTAAAGTGCCCTCAGTGCAATTCAGATAGGGACCACATGTCTTGAAGAATCCCTAGTTACAGGTAAGTAACCTCCTCTTCTCAATCATTGTCGGCTCACATCTAAAATCAGTGGTGGGGCTGCAGGTGGCAATCCTTGCAGTGAAGGGCAGTTTGGGAGAAAACAGTGTTTATCCTTGTGTGACTCTCTTCCTATTGTCTTTCAATCTCAGCCTACCCCCTCAAATCTAGTTGTTACTATGTGCCTCATTCCTCTGCTCTCTGCAGTTTGTGCTTGTGGACTAGAATTCGCCTAGTGGAAGCATGTGGTACTTCATTCTTCGGCACACTAACCGCATTACACAGTTGTGATATTGTTGGTGGTGCTTAGTCCCTTTAGCTTCTAATGATCAGCTGACACTTTCTAAATTATATTTACTTATTGAAGGTAGTTTTGCGTATTGGAGACAGAAAAATGTACTGTAGCGAAAACTAAATTCACTCATGTCATCTCCAAAGATGTTTTAAGTAGAACCATCTGTCAAAATTTATTTTGTGGCGTTTTTTATTTGTATCAAGTAATAAGTGAAATAAAAGTATATAGACAAAATAGATGCTCAGATTCTACAGTAATGGGAGCATATAAGTACCCATAAAGAAAATACAATGCAGATTAAAAAATCTTTTAGCCAATATTTGATAGTAAGGTTACAGGGCCTAGGAGGCAGATCCTGCCACCCCGGGGAAGGAGGAACTTCGTTGTCTGCCATTCAGGTACAATTGTCACTGACATTCCTGTTAGCAACTTTTTAATTGGACACCTGTCCACTAGAAAATGGGCTGAGACCAACTTTTTTTAAAAATGCTAAGTGGTTAAAGCGGGGTACTCGGAGTGAGAGAGCTCCCACTGATTTCTCTTATGGCCTGAAGCATATAATTTAACCTTTCTGCCTACATTTTCCCATAAAATTGAGATAAAAATAATAGTCCACTCACAAGGATGTTTGTAAAGGTGATTTAGAGGTTCTTGCCTAGATGGGAAATAAATCCTATCAGTGGTTTCAAGGTTTCCAGTTACCTGTCCCTTAAATAATTGTTTTATTTCTTTGCATTTTTTAAAAATGCATCTCAGCAAAGTTAGAGAATGAATGTTATTGTTTTGAGTAAATTGCAGTTTCAGTAGCTAGCTGATCGGTTATTTGGAGAAAATTTGAAATCTAAAATTTGTTTTATTTCCACAGAGACATTAGGAAAAATGCACTCTTGGGCTTTAAACCGTTTCTTTACTGGACCATTTTGGGGTTCTCCCATGCATTTGTTTTCTTCTACGGCTCATATCTTCTGATGGGAGAAGACACTTCTCTGCTGGGAAATGGCCAGGTAAAATAGTTCACAAATAGCAAGACAGTGTATTCAGTGATTTTTTTAATTTAATATACTCTGCACGGTTTCTGTAAAATTAGTGTATTCTAGCAGTGCAAAAGTCACACTGTATTCAGTAAATGTAAACAGTAAACCAGTAGACTTCTTTTTTCTAGACCTTAAGAATACCTTCTACGCTGAATAAATACAAAATGTGCTTTACCATTATTCCCTTATAGGCAGTAAAAGATCCTGAAATTAAAGTGAAGTAAATGCAGCAGAACAGATCATTCATATGATGATCTGTTGCTCCTTGGCTAATACCTGAATGTTTGTCCAAAATAAACTGATATCCTAGAAAGATCCCTGCTAATGGATTAGATTCTATCTGCTTTATTTCTAATATAGTAAATAATTGAAATGTTGAATCTTTGGATAGTGATTATGAAAAACCATTGCTGTTCTATCTAATTACTGAACATCTGTACACTTTCTGGTTACCTAACTTTCCCTTTATATAAGCCAGTGACAGTAGAATCACAGAGTTATGAACACTTTGGGAATGGAGGTTGATTGTAATTCTGAAATGTTCATAACTCTGAACAAAAATGTTATGGTTCTTTCAAAAGTTTACAATTAAACATTGACTTAATACAGCATTGAAACTTTACTATGCAGAAGAAAAATGCTGCTTTTAACTATCTTAATTTAAATGAAACAAGCACAGAAAGTTTCCTTACCTTGTCAAGTCTTTTTTTAAACTTTCCCTTTATTTTTTTTAGTAGTTTACGTTTAAAACAGTAATGTACTGTATTGGCTGCTTTTTTGTGGGGGGAGGAGGGGGTCTCTCTTGTTGCCTGATTGCATACTTCCATTCCAAGTGAGGTGTGTGGTTGACTGCTCAGTTCGTAACTCTGAAGTTCTGCTCTATAAAGCAAATGTTCATAAAAGCCCAAACATACAAAAACCCACAGAAAAATTAAATGGATTACTGAGTTTTTATATCACATGAAAACCTGTAATAAAATGTGTTTGAACTACCAGTGAATTATGACTAAAGATGACAGAGCATTATATAAATACCTCCACTCTCGGAAGTACAGAAATTCAAGCATTAAAAGAGAGATCCTTACAGATGAGCATTTCTGTCTTAGCCACTAACAAAATGTTGAGCAATCCTTTAGTATGCCCTGAAATGTAATTATGTAGTATGCCTATTTTGATATTTATTAAGATAATGAATAAAAAACCCTGTGCAACTCTTAATTGTCAGAGTAATTCTGCATAATTGTATATCTTTATTCCAAAAAAATTGTCCCCCTCAAGCATGTGCTGAAAGGCTTCTTTTGAAGTTGTTGCGGAACCAACATATTAGGATTCAAAATGTCATCGTTTAACATCTCTGTAACTTGAAGTCTTTAAATCATGATTTGAGCACTTCAGTAACTCAGCCAGAGCTTTTGAGTCTATTACAGGAGTGGGTGGGCAAGGTTCTGTGGCCTGCAATGTGCAGGCGGTCAGACTAGATAATGATGGTCCTTTCTGGCCTGAATGTCTAACAGGACTCCTTTTGGTTCTGTGTAAATAATGAAATTTTAGACTGGTTTGGTGATTTAAACAATTTTTCAAACTCTTTATTCACTGTTCTAGCTAGTCTTTTATAAATCATTTTGACAGATTTGATAGTCTGTCGTTAAATTTATATGCGTGAAGCGTAAATAGTTTGTTTTCCAATAACATTAAATCTTCAGCAAAGAAGTGACTGTGGTATCAATGATGAACTCTCCTTCAGGGTCATGAAATGGAATAAGAGAGTCTAGTTTTCAATACTTAAAAGTGAAAATATGTCAGGAAGACTAAAACTTTTGTTTTAGTAGAATTAGTAGTATTTAATATTTAACCTTTTTAAATTACAGGACACTAACACATCAATTCTTGGGATTTCTTTTTTACTGCTAGACCAAAACAAGAAAAACAAAACCAGATTCTTCTAGAATCTGTCCAGGGTCAACTGGCCATTGTCCCTTTACCTCCATCATTACTCAACTTGCAGTGTGTTTGATACTAATGGGCAACTGCTGCTTCTGTGGGACTAGCATTTAGCATCAGAAAGTAGTGTTTTTTCTTACAGGTGGCTGCACAAATTAGGCATTTCTTATGTTTAATTACCTACTACCTTGTCCTCAGTGAGATTCATGCCTTGTGTACCTTAATTGTTGAATGCCAAATAACAGGAGAACTAAGTCCTATCCTAGAAGTTAGATTTTTTTTTTTTCCTGCAGCAAATAACTTCAGCAAAGAGGACTGTTCGACTTAGTAAATTTGTAATGGAATATAGATCTCTTCTCTATGTCACTGATTCAAATTCTCCCCATCTCAGTGACCTTTTTCCATCCAGTGGCCAATGTGAACTAAGTTGGTGGTCTCTTTCTGTGATGATGTGGGGAAACTCACATTTCCACTATCCACATGCTACCTGTTCTATGAAGAAAGAAGATTTCAGTCTGTGAGGCTGTAACTGAGCACCTTTCACATATATACTTTGTAAAATAAATGAATTTCAGTGCATACAGTCATATTCTTTTATCTTGCAGTATGGCAGGTTTTTTAGGTCTTCCAAATGAGTGCTGCCACTGATGGCAGGAATTGTCAATCTGTTATATTCTGTATATGTCTGCCATAGACTTCTCATTCATTCTTGCTCAGACCTCAGTAAAACTTCCCTCCATAGCTTCCATTTATGGCAGTCAGGTGCTAGAAAAAAGACATCTGTTAAAGTTATTGAATGTTCCCATAGTCTTAAAGATGCCTTATTGTAAGAATGTGAGCTCTACCCCAGCTTCCTAAGCAAATGATACATATTTTCTGGTGAATGGACAATGGCCAAAAATATTTTGTGTGGCTAAAGTCAGAGAGAACGTGAAACAATTGCTAAATTCTGTTTAGAGAGAGCAGAATTTAGATAGGGTGCAGGCTGAAAAGTTAGTGGTGATAATACAGCTAGCTAGAGTACCCATCCACTTATGAAATGTTTGACAGAGGCATTAAAATAGTTGAACCTCTGAGCAAAATATCTTTACTAATTGAGATGTATTTTCTCCTCTCGTGTAACATAGTAAAGACCATATGACTTTCTGCTTGTGCATTCATAGAGACCTTGCTTTTGTTGAATTTTATTGAATGGAAAAAGTTTTTCAGTATAGCTTTTCCCCACTGGATCAATCCATTTCCGAGCAGTTATTGGTTCTGGTACATCTAAGTGCCTAAGTACAGACTTAATGGTAGACTTTCACAGCACCAAACGGAACAATTTACTTCGTATAGATACAACATATGGTTAGCTTCTAGAGCAGAGTATGTAAATGTGTGTTTTGAGGTTTAATAGCCTTACGTCATGACACGCTGTACTTCAACTTGATTTTTTAGTTCTACTTTTTCCCCCCTTTTTTCATGCTGTGCATGTCGTCAGATATTGAAACCTAACAGGCAAATGGTAAGATTTATGTTAGAAGAAGAGAAGGTGATACAAAATATTGTATCTGGTATTTCACAAAATTAAAGGATGCAGCATCTACTCTCTAAATACTTTCAAAAATAAAAATGGTGGCAAGAATTTGTTAATTTTTTGCATTGCAGCTATACAGCCTTCAAGGGTAGTGTAAATTAAGACACTTTTTTTCATGGGCCACTCATAATAGCAGTAGTTTAATCTCATGGTTACCGAGCTGAAAGTTTATTTTTCTTCCTCATATAGCAAGGCACTGGGTGTAGGGGGGTCCACTTGAGGGGGGTTTTTGTTTTTAAAATCAGTTCTCTATGACAAGGGCTGCAACCATGTTAATCCTAGCTTTCTAGTTGGTGAACTAAACTATCAAATTCCAAAGTGATGAATTTGGTTGCATATCTGCAGGTAGTGTCTTCCTGCACTATCCATGCTTGCCTACTTCTAATGAATGGTAAAGAAGTGAAATTGACAAGAATTCTGTTCTCTATCTTAAGGTATTTAGAGTGTCAGTCACCATAGCCTTTAGGTGCTGCAGAGTCTCTTCAGTTTCAGTACCTGCTTGTTCACGAGAATAGTACAGGCAGGCAAAGTAGAAGGGTGATATGTGTTTGTGAAGCATGTGGGTACACAGTTGCAACAAACACAGCATCCTCACCTATTGTTAGAGCTGGGATTTTGACGTTGGAGAATTTGTTCCAAGGTCTGATAATTTAGTATATTGGGATGGGATGATGAAAGCGGTAGATTCTTTAGAAGTATTTTAGGGTTGGGATTAAATTTTCATTTTATCAGCCTTCGAGGAAAAAAGTGTCTCTCTTCTTAATGTTCTCTTTGAAGAACATAACAGCACCATTATTTTTGAATTATGAAGATTGTGGTTTGGAAAAACTAAACCTTCCAATGATGCTGCATTTTAAAAATAACCTTTAATGTTTAAACTTCGTAATTGAGGAGTTACTGCTTTTACACTAAAGTGGAATACCTTCCCATTGATAGTCATGGCTAGCTGGATATTCACACATAATTGGTTGATTAGTAACTTCATTTTCCTACCATCTCATTTTTGGTTTGGTTTTGTCATCTTCTGCTGTAGATTTGTGGTGGTAAGGAAAAAGATTCCTTACTAGTGGGGTGTACATTTTGTGACTCTTAATAGGAATTATATTTTTTCTTTGCTTGTGGTTTGTGCTTTACCCTTCTTGCTCTACTAACTATACTTAGTGAACAATCACAGGTTTCATTAGTGTAGCTGGTTTCAAATAGCTATAATTTATTACAACTGCTATAAAATGATTTTGTGCAATGACTTCTGTTTTTGTATTTTATTTAGATGTTTGGAAACTGGACTTTCGGTACTTTGGTCTTTACTGTTATGGTTATAACTGTTACAGTGAAGGTACAGTAGTATAATATTTACTCTCCATTTTGGGGAATGTAGGCAAATACAGAATAATTTCAGGTTTCAGAGTAACAGCCGTGTTAGTCTGTATTCGCAAAAAGAAAAGGAGTACTTGTGGCACCTTAGAGACTAACCAATTTATTTGAGCATGACCTTTCGTGAGCTACAGCTCACTTCATCGGGTATGCATCCGATGAAGTGAGCGGTAGCTCACGCTCAAATAAATTGGTTAGTCTCTAAGGTGCCACAAGTACTCCTTTTCTTTTTACAGAATAATTTGTCAGTTTAAAGTTGGTTTTGATACTTATGAAGAGTGGTAAATAATTTTTGTCTCTCAAGGAAACAGGAGGTAAAGAGGGCATTAGGGTTAGTTTCAGTCATGGCTTAAAAAGATTCAGTTCATAGCTTCGTGTGTCTTGAACGATGTTTACTGATTAAGTTTGAAAGTAAATCCAAATAATTTGAAAGTAATGTTCTCTTTTCATATTAATGAAGTAAAACAACGTAGATTAATTTTCTAAACATGTTCTTTGTTTTTTAGATGGCTTTAGAGACCCATTTCTGGACTTGGATAAATCATTTTGTTACGTGGGGCTCCATTGTATTTTATTTTCTATTTTCCTTGTTTTATGGGGGAATTATCTGGTGAGTGATTTTTCCGTTTGTTTGTGTATGTGCATAAAACAGGAAGATAAAGTAGAACATTGCTTTTAGTGTTTGATAGATCCTGCACTATAGCTATTAATTTCTTCATACATTTAAAACAGGAAAGGAAATGCCAATCCCAGCAATGGATTTTTGCCCTTTTCTTCAGACCTAGAGCCTGTTACTCCTAACATATAGTGTGTAACTTTGCAGCCTTGCATGTATTTATCCCTCATCTGAAGCAGACACATCTTTATGCATTTTAGAACTCTTGAAATTCTTTGTTTTTTCTAAGTTTACTAGTTTTCTGGTTAAGTGAAACTGTAGTCATTTTGTGTAACAACCCAAATTTTTCCCTTAGAATGACTGTGTTTTCTAAATCTCAGCATCCTCATACTGTTTCTGGAGACTCTTTTTTGCCTGCTACAATATTCCATGGATGCCATTCTCTCGAAGGCCATCTACCTCTTTCTGAAGAGGCTTCTGGCACCCATTTCCATACATATGAATGCTGAAAAATTTGGACCATTTTCTTTGTCAATACAAATTTTCACTTCACCATGCTGCACAATGCAAGGCTCACTGTATCTAATATGGAAGATGAACTAATTAAATATTTCCCAATTAGTTCTTCATAGAATTTAAGGCTTTATAATTTCTACATAATGTTGAATACTGTAAAGACTATCAGAGTACTGTAAAGACTACTAATCAGAATACTGTAAAGACTACTCTTGTTAATCATGTCCCTTTTAAAAATCCTGCACTGTTCTCATTTCTGGTTCTACAGGGATGTGCAAATTGCATATAGCTGTATCAATATGGAACCTTACACAGCTGTGGGAAATCCATGACACATGGGGAGGCAATGTTTCTTAAGGGGCAGCCTTAAGGTATTCCAGGAGCTCCAAAGGAGCCCTTTCTCTTATAGAGGCTGCGGCAGGGATTAATTAAAACAGCACATCCCCAAACTTCCCTAGCCACACTCTTCTCCAGCCCACACCATTCACTTTTTAGCTGCCCTATGCCACTTTCAATTACTAGACTCCCCTCAGTGGACTTACCGGTGCTGGGGTCCTATACTCTGACTTCTTGTGGTGGATACCATAAAACAGAGATGAATTTAGCAAATTAGTTTTGTTTAATTTGTACTTCTAATATTTTCCTCTAATTATCCTTCTCTGATTTTTCAGGCCATTTTTGCATACGCAGGACATGTACTTTGTATTTGTTCAGTTGCTGTCAAGTGGTTCCGTTTGGTTTGCCATAATCATCATAGTTGTCACTTGTTTGTTTCTTGATGTTGTGAAGAAAGTGCTGTGCAGACATCTACAACCAACAAGTACTGAAAAAGCTCAGGTAACGTTATGTTTTTATATAGAACATGGTCAATAATTAAAAGAAGAACTTTATTAAATTCAATCCTGTAATCGGATAACCAAATAATCCTCCTCTGAATAAATGTCAAAATATCACTTCCTCTGCAAGAATTTAAATGGCTGTGATGCTTCAGTATGTAAAATAGTGCTTTCATTTGAAAGCTGTCATGGGATAAGGGGGAAGGTCCTCTCATGGTTTGGTAACTGGTTAAAAGATAGGAAACAAAGGGTAGGAATAAATGGTCAGTTTTCAGAATGGAGAGAGGTAAATAGTGGTGTCCCCCAGGGCTCTGTAGTGGGACCAGTCCTATTCAACATATTCATAAATGATCTGGAAAAGGGGTAAACAGTGAGGTGGGAAAATTTTTAGATGCAGACGATCCAAAACTACTCAAGGTAGTTAAGTCCCAGGCAGTCTGCAAAGAGCTACAAAAGGATCTCTCAAAACTAGGTGACTGGGCAACAAAATAGCAGATGAAATTCAATGTTGATAAATGCAAAGTAATGTACATTGGAAAACATAATCCCAAATATACATATAAAATGATGGGGTCTAAATTAGCTGTTACCACTCAAGAAAGAGATCTTGGTGTCATTGTGGATAGTTCTCGAAAACATCCACTCAACATGCAGTAGCAGTCAAAAAAGCAAACAGAATGTTGGGAATCATTAAGAAAGGGATAGATAATCAGACAAAAAATATATTGCCTCTATATAAATCCATAGTACGCCCACATCTTGAATACTGCATGCAGATGTGATCGCCCCATCTCAAAAAAGATATATTGGAATTGGAAATGGTTCAGAGAAGGGCAACAGAAATGATTGAGTATGGAACAGCTTCCGTATGAGGCGAGATTAATAAGACTTGGACTTTTCAGCTTGGAAAAGAGATGACTAAGGGGGCATATGATTGAGGTTTATAAAATCATGACTGGTGTGGAGAAAGCAAATAAGGAAATGTTATTTACTCCTTCTCATAACATAAGAACTAGGGGTCACCAAATTAAATTAATAGGTAGAAGGTTTAAAACAACAGAAGGAAGTATTTCTTCACACAACACAAAGTCAACCTGTGGAACCCTTTGCCAGGAGATGTTGTGAAGGCCAAGAGTATGATAGGGTTCAAAAAAGAACTAGATAAATTCATAAAATCAATGGCTATTAGCCAGGATAGGCAGGCATGGTGTCCCTAGCTTCTGTTTGCCAGAGGCTGGGAATGAGCAACAGGGAATGGATCACTTGATGATTGCCTGTAGTGTTCATTCCCTCTGGAACACCTAGTATTGGCCACTGTCGGCAGACAGGATACTGGGCTGGATGGACCTTTGGTCTGACCCAGTATGGCCATTCTCATGTTCTTATGAAAAGGTAATTTAATTTAAATTATGTAAACCTATTTAATGCTATCATGAGATCCAAGTACAAGTAAGGATTTTACTCTTGCAAAGGATGGTAACTTTTGTACTAGAACTAATAAACCATTTCTGAATAAAGCGAACCTACAGACTTGCTGGAACACAAACTGTTCAGTCTTTAGCATCGACGTTTGTAAAAGCATGCCAGGATACATGTTTTGTAAAGAGGTGCGCTGCTTTAAGGTTAGTTGCGAAATTTACTCTTGTTGTTTTCTGAGGCTGAACAAAGTCTCTGGAGATATTATTGCCTTTGAGTGGCTGCTACAATGTAATGATGTGCAATAGTTTAAATGATTTCACTAGCATGTAGTTTGGCAAAATAGTTTTATAGCAAATATTCATTAAGATTACTATACCGAAATACATACTTCTCTATTATATGCTGATAAAACATTCTCCATAATATAAATAGGGTTCCATAAAATCTTGGTTATGACTTATGCCTTATATAGACTATTTGACTAAAGGTTATTGAGTTTAATAAAACTGTATTATAATGCTAGAAGGGACCACCGTTGTCATATAGTCTGACTTGCTGAATAACAGATCATAGGACTTCCCGAATTAATCCCCATTTGAACTAGAGCATCTTTTAGAAAAACATCCTATCTTTATTTAGAAATTTCCAGTCCTGGAGAATCCACTAGCCATTGGTAAGTTGTTCCAATGGTTAATTACTGTCATTGTTAACAATTTGCACCATATTTCTTGTCTGAATTTGTCCAGCTTCCAGCCAGTGGATCTTGTTATACCTTTGTCTGATATATTGAGGTACCCTCTGTTGTCAAATTTGTGTTCCCCATGTAAGTACTGATAGATTGATCTAGTCACCCCTTAATCTTTTCTTTGATAAACTTAATAGATTGAACTGAGCTCCGTGATTCTTTCACTGTAAGATATGTTTTCCAGTCCTTTAATCATTCTAGTGGCTCTTCTCTTAACGCTCTACGATTTCTCAACATCCTTGAATTGTGAATGCCAGAACTGGACATAGCATTCCAGCAGTAGTTGCACCAGTGCAAAATACAGAGGTAAAATAACCTCTCTACTCCTACTTGAGATTCCCCTGTTTCTGCATCCAGGAATCACATTAGCCAGCTCATGTTCAGCTGATTATCCACCATGACCTCCAAATCTTTTTTAGTCTCCTTGCTTTCCAGGAAAGTCCCCTATCTTGTAAGTATGGCCTAAGTTCTTTGTTCCTAGATGTATGACTTTACATTTGGCCATATTAAAACACACATTAGTTGCTTGCTTCCAGCTTACCAAGTGATCCAGATCGCTTTGTATCAGCGACAGGTCGTCTTTATTTACACTCCCCTAATTTTTTTTCATCTGCAGACTGTATCAGTAACAATTTTATTTTCTTCCATGTCATTGATAAAAATGTTGAATAGTGTAGGGACAAGAACTGAACCCTGCAAAACCCTAATGGATTCACACCTACTTGTTGATGATTCTCTATTTACAATTACATTTTTGAGACTTATTTCTTAGCCAGTTTTTTAGTCCATTTAATCTGTTCCATGTTGATTTGGTATCATTCTGGTTTCTTACTCAAAATGTCTCGATACCAAGTCAAATGCCTTACAGAAGTTTAAGTATATTACATGAGCACTATTATCTTTATCAACCAAACTTGTAATCTCATTAAAAAAATCAAGTTCGTTAGACAAGATCTATTTTCAATAAACCTGTGTTGACTGGCATTAATTATATTGCCCTCCTTTAATTCTTGATTAATCAAGTCCTGTATCAGCCACTCCATTATTTTGTCTAGGATCGATGTCACAGGCCTATAGTTATCCAGGCTGTCGCATTGACCCTTTTAAAATATTGGCACCACATTAACTTTATTCCAGTGCTGTGAGACGTAGCCAGCATTCTAAGACTTAATAAAAATCAACCGTAATGGTCTAGAGAACTCTTGGATACAAGTTATTTGGACCTGCTGGTTTTAAAATGTCTGACTTGAGTAGCTGCTATTTAACATCCACTTCAGTTACTATTGGAATGGAAAATATTTCATCAGCAAATGACAACATCATCTGGCTTTTTCCCAAATACAGAACAGAAATATTTATTGAACGCTTCTGCTTTCTGCATTATTGGCACTTCTACCACTTCCATCTAGTAATGCACCAGTTACATTGTTACAGGATTCCTTTAGTTCCTAACAGACATTATACACACACAAAAAACAAAACAAAAAACTTATTTTCCTTAACTCAGCTAGCCATAGATTTCTGCTTATGTCTTTTTTCTCCTCTTATGAAGTTCGTAGCTTCTGATTTCCTTTCATTATAATAAATCTATTTTTAATCTCACTTAATCTTTCAGTAAGATGTTTGTTGCCATTGTGATTGCATGCTTATGGGCCTGGCCTGTCATGTTACCTAAGAGAGAAGTATGATACTATCTCACATTTTTCCTGTGATAGTCTAGGTATGTGTTTTGGTTAGTGCATTGTATTTCTCTTTCTCCATTAGTACTGGGCAGTTTGGCAGCATCTGCATTAGTGCCACTGTGTTCTGCAGGAGTACCTCTTGCTGGGAAACCCCAACTCTGGTATCAACTGCATTAGACCATCAGCTAAACTTTGCAATAAAATCCATTAACTGTTCTGTAATTTTTAATGGTGGTAACAACTTAATGACTATCTAGCTGCTTTTTGTGTGTGTGCATGTGTGTCTTTAGAGGTGTGGTTATAGTCAGAAAAGTAAACTTGCAAAAACGGGACCTTACTATTTCATGGGTTTTCTCCTGCATACATTCATACATATACTCACCTCTTTCAACAGTTGCAATCTAAGGTTCAGATTTTGCCACTCTTTAAGAGCAAGTTCTTGGGACTAGTCTGAGATCATGAAATCAATGGGAGTTACTATGGAGTAAGGAACTAAACATGAGTAAAAGGGTGACCATTTTTTTTCTACTTATTTTAGTTAGCTGTATTATCATTAAAGGGTGCGGTATGGGATTGTTTCAGGTTTGTACATCACTATGTTTGTTAAATAAATTCCAATTACAGAATGTTTTTACTGTGGATCTCAAAGCAAAGAAAATAACCCGGTTTGACTTTCAGATCTCACGTTGAGTTGGTAGGGATGACAACTAGAAAAAGTGTTGTTGTTTTTAAAACTAAGCAAATTTTGTATGGAAGCTATTGAGAGAATAAGTGGAACTCCACATTTCCATTGTAAACTCACTTTTCTCAGTACAACTGCATCTTACACGTGGCTGAATTAATTCCTGTGTACTTGCATCTTTTAAAAACAACTTAGCTCCCAATAACTGAGACTCTATGTGATACAGCAAAGTAAAACTAGTTTTAGGTCAGGACAAGGAAATAGATTATATGCAGTAATCACAAATTTTTAAAAATGGAGCTGTAGGGCTTTCATCACCTGCTGTCTTTCACCTTTAAATTCTAAAATATTTCACTGGGAGAAGAAATAAGCAAGCTTAAAGTACATTTTCTTAACTTGGTATGCAAGGGATAATAATTGTCCTGGTAACTCTGAAAATGAGTCAACAGATTGTCTCCATCTTTTTAAACAGAGATAATAGTTTACTTTGGAAATTATAAATACTAGTATCATCAAAATAATCATTCCCCAAAGACCAATTATTTTCTGCATGTAGTTAATTGTTTAGACGTCATGTAAGATCTGATAAACTTCTGCATGAGAGAAATAGCTGAAAAATAATATACACTGTTTCTAAAAGCTGTCTTAAAAGTAAATGTTAAGGTATTGTAATCGGGAACTACTGTATAAGAAACTCTTAGTTTTACTGCATTTTGAAAGCCTATTTAATTAAAAACTTAGCAAAATATGTAGTATGGCTTTACACTGGGCTTTCATAGTGGGACAATCATGACTTCCCCCCCCAGGTGTACTCTGCATGTGTATAACTTTTTGCCATGTTCCAGGATTTTCTGCCTGATACTACAATGAAATCATAATTCTGTGTTTGGCTTCTGTCAAATGACATGGAAGTAATTGCTTTGAGCTTTTGCATTTATAACTCTATGTGGGATCACATAGGAAGAAATGGCTACTGTGGGGGGACAATCCCAGTCAAAATATACATCTTTTGGTAAACAGCAGAAATTAAAATATTAATGGGGTGTCAGGAGAGTCTAAGGACAGCTGGAGAAGTATGCCCCAAGTATTTCCAGGATTTTTTTCGCCCATTATGAAAGTTAAGGGACACTTTTTAAACATGGCAACGGTGAAAAATAAATGATGTTGGTGCCGGGAACAATCTTGCAAGTATCCATTTCATGTGTGTTCTGTGTATGAAGTATATTCCAGTAAATAACAGAATGTCTTTTAAAATCCTGTCCTGTATCTTTCTCTTAGAAAAATACTGTTACTTACTGACTTGTATGTTCCATCCCTTCTCTGTCCACTTATAGATGTACTCCAACAGAGTTGCTTTAAGTGATGAGTTCATTGCACTGCAGCCATTATCCAGGGCAAGGAATCAGCTGAGCAGAATTAGGTAGAGTAGGAGGGACAATTCCTCATCAACTCTTATGCATGTTGAAGGTCAACTAACCAGCATTGAGAGAAATGGGAAGAGGCATGAATATTAACGTGGGATGAGAGGCAGTATCTATAGTGGAGATTCATTCTATTTGGCATCTTTCTTGGCTTTGCTCGGTGTTTTTTCAGGCCAATTGCTTCTCATAAGTAGCATGTACTAGACAGTCTTATAGGAGAAAATCCCTAGCATGATGCTCAATTTGGAGAACACAGTTCTAGTCTTTCTTGCATCCATTTTTAAAATAACCCCAGTTTCTAGCATGGTTCCAGTGCTCTTGCTTTGTGTAGTCAAAATTAACAGTGCTTTCTGCATGTTGGATAAATACAGCTTCATAAGACCACAACAGAAAGGTCTTTGTATTTTAGGCAGCAGTTTCTTGCCAGTTGTTCGCCCGTTTTAATTTGCTTTCGCTTGTGCCATAAGAGCATAGAACATGTCTTTTGCTTGGGTGTAAATATACATTTGTGCATCAACTAAGACTCTTGCTTTAGTTTAATGCATCTATCAAGTGAATGTTTATTTTCAATGTATTATGGATGTCTGTGTCTCTTAAGATATTTGGGTGTAAATTGTATGAAATATTCAAAAAGACTGAAGTTTGCCTGTCTGTTGTCTAGGTAAAGTACTAAGATGCTGGAACTTTTATAATGCACTCAGTCTCAGAGAGTGCAATGCTATAGGACTGCAATTTGACATTTTGAAAGAATAAAACATGCACAAAAATAAATGTTTTAGCTTGCAATAAAGATTAAGGGCCAAACCTTCATCCCAGCCTTATACAACTTTTGCAGCAACAAAAAATTAAAAACACAGTTTTGTTCATATAGTATTTGATTGTCTAAGTCTGGGATGGTGCCTGTAAATCAGGACTAGGACATCCATGGGACCTACATTGATGGAATGGATGTACATCCTTCAAAATAGGGGGGAAAAGAGAGTAAAGTGACTTATGCCAAGGTAATGAATGCTATATTTTAAACAAAGAATTGCCACAGTTAACACTTAAAAACCTGAGAAATCTCAGTTGCAGACTCTGTGGTTCGTCTGCCCGGGTGAGTGACATCACCACAAAGAGAAATTTCAAATAACAATTCCATTCTTTCCCGTTATTACCATGTGATGGTACTTGTAATACGACTCACTCTAGCAGGAATACCAGGAAGTCTGCAACTCAGATTTCTGAATATCATAGGGAGTTAATCTTGTTGAAATTCAGTACAAAATCAACTTCTGAAGGAAGGTAAGTTGGCACTTTCTAGCTTTTTTTTTTTTTTTAACAGAGTTTTTGTTTAGGAATGTCCCTGTGTTTTGAATGTGGTGGCAAAAGTTCAAAGTAAGTTAGTATATATGGTCCATATGAGTAGCGCAGGCATCAGCAGGTCTTAAGAGTTCTTCTATGTGGCTTCTCTCCTATAGACTTCACCCTGTACATGAAAGTTGTGTGTAGTGGGGACATTCTAGTTGGGTGGCAAATTAAGATTTTGTACAGCAGAAGAGGAATCTAAGGGACAGGAAAGACTTTTTTATCCACACGGAATGCTAATGCGTGAAGTTTTAAATCTAGGAATTAAATGTTAACACTTTTTATTAATGTGGATAAAGCTCTGTCCTTCCATGACTCTGTCCCCACCCTCCTGAAACAATTTTGCTGTTGCCCCTTGCTCCCCTATCTCCATGCACTTCTACCTTTCCTAAAGCCCTCCATTGCAAGACTACAAGAGTATGCCTCTGTAGCCTCAGGTTTTAATGACCTGAACTGCTACTGTTTTTCTGACTCCTGTCTGATCCTTGTTTTCCTATTCACCATTATGTCTGCCTCTGGTCAGTAGCTGCTGCAGCAAAGCCTGGGGCCAGGAGCAGGTCAATTTCTATTAAATTTGTATTGTACATATTGTTGTATATATGTTGTAATTCCACTGGTAAACCAGCCTTTTCCTCACCCTTCAGTGCCCCGCCACACACACACTAAGGGTCACCACGGCATCTCTTCTTAGCATGACAAACTTAGATTGTATGCTCTTTGGTGGCAGGGACGATCTTTTTGTTTTTTGTTTGTACGAGGCCTACCACAGTTGGGCCCTGATCCATGACTGGGGCCCCTGTGGGCTGCCACAATACAAATAACAAAAATTATCTGGTGTTTGTAGACCATCATTTTGGAGGTACAACTGAGCAAAAAGCTTAGGAAAATTTTTTTTTTTTTTTTTTAAAGTGGCATTTCAAAAGTCTCCCTGGCAAACTTCAAAATGCCTTTTTTCTAAATTTTGCAAAACTTTCTAGAAAAACTAACCAAGGATGAGATGTGGCATTTGAAATTTCAGGGGAATCAGTCTCTTGTTGGGGTGACTAGGAGAAGGTAAAAATGGGGCTCATAATGGGAACCTACTTTAAAGCTTCATTGTGGTGTTGCAATAACCATCTCATAATCTATTTTAGCTATTTACATAGCATAGATTATATTGGTATCTAGGGCCTGGCTTCAGCGAAGCACTGCTTAAGCATTTGCTTAACTTTAAGCACATACTTAAATCCATTTCTTTTTAGCAGAGCACATAAGCATATGCTTCAATGAGATATAAGTGCTTTGTTGAACTAAAACCTGCAGGTGTCATTTGGCATACAGAAGACCCAACAAAATGGGAAAAGAATTGGAAAGACCCTTTGGACAAAAGCGCTAGTTTTAGACCTTTATTTGGGGGAGGAAGGGGTCAGAATTGAAAATTACTCATCTACATTCTTTGTAAGCCTTTAATTTGTTGACAAACTATACTCTGTGGGCTGATGTGCATCAATAAATAATTTGTGATTTGTATAACTTTGATAACTTGAGAAAGTGATCATCTCTTCCTGCATAAGCAAATGTGCACTGTTCTATCAAGAACAAGTCAGTAGATTAAAGATTGGTTTAAAGATTACTGTTTTGAATTAAACTGATTGTGGTGTTTTATAAGATTTGTTGCTTTTCTGTCCTTCTAGATGGAAGAGGATAAGGGTTCAGTCAGCTCAGCATATGACTTTGCTGAAAGCAGGCACAGAGGGGAGGACAATAGGCAACTGCTAGCTGATCCATCTAGCCAGCAGGACAGTGCTTGCATTCACTAGGTAGTACTCCCACTGTACCCTTATGTATAGTCAGTCTTGGAATCATCTTTGAAATTCCCATACTTGTGATATTTACAAGGAAACTTACATGATGGCATGTTTTTTGTTTGGGCTTAACGGATTGAATCACTAATTGTAATACATAGTATTTAATTTTTTTCTTGATTCATTCCATTAAAGTTATCCATTCCCCTGGAAAACATTTGCATTACAATGATTTAAGATCCTTAGCCCTAAACCATACCTTTTCAAAACTTCTTTGCAGCCCGGAGATTAGTGTTCTCAGTTTTTTCTCTGCATATGTCAATCTTTAAGCAATGGCTCTTCCTGCCAGTTGCAGCCCAGTCAGGGATACACTTAGGATTGCCAGAGACTTTTTTGTTTTAAAACTATCTGTGCTCAGTACTGTCCACCTCACAGCATTCTGCATTGTTGTCTTACCTGTTTTTGTCAGGTCTTAGTTTGGTGTCACACCCAACTATGATCAAATTTTGCACAGATATAAAATTGGAGAGGAAGGCTAGAGGAGATATAGGCAGTGAGGGGACATTCTGTATTAAAGTTAAAATCCTTATTCAGGAAAGGGATATAAAGAGAATGGATCCCAAACCAGGCAGCCAGTGCCATCATATTGAGTTTCTTTTTCTATTGTCTCCTTTACACTCCTAATATTACTTTTGATGTTACTAAGAGCTAGTTGGTACAGCTGACATAAGGAAGGTGTGGATTTGGGATTGCAGAGAGATCTCTGATGTTCACTATTTACTCTGGAAGTACTACTTATAATGCTTCCACTCAGTTTTTAGTCTTTAAAGTGGGAGGTCTGTGGATTTAAAATAGCAAATATTAATTCTTTGCATTTATCTACATACCGGATTTTGGAAGGTCACTATTTTCAAGTAGGTGGTATTAACCCTTTTAAGTCATGGTAAAACATTGACTCCTTATTAAGCCACTATTGTATTGCACAGAAACTGAAGGCAAAATTGATTTTAAGCTCATTAGAAATCAAATATTTTCATCTTAAGTAGATTTTTTTATTTTATTTTTGCCTGTTTTTCAAAAATCCCCCCTTTCCATTGCAGTCATTGCTTTTTTTATAGGTATTATAGGCAGTTCAGAAATACAGGTGCATTATACATTAAAGATTGCACAGACAGAGCATAGGATTCTGGCATTGAGGGAGACCAAGATAGTTTTATGCACCTTTTATACAACCCTTCCTACCAAATTCTGGTGCCAACTGTTTCATCCCACAGGTGCAAATTTGTGCAGCCGCTTGGCTGCTCCCTCTTTGTGTCAGCTTGTAACATTCTCCAGTGATACCCAGCCATTATGCCAGCTAGGGATCATTAGAGCGCAATTGCACCCTGACTACTTCCCCAACATGCACCCTCTGCCAGGGGCTAAGGAGGCCATAGCTCTGCACCACCTGGATATTCCCTCAGCTGATTGGTGAAGTCAACTTTATGGCCCCAGAATACCGCAGAGGCCAGGTTCTGCTTCATACAGTATATATTAAGGGAAGAATCAATTCTGTATATAAAGATCAAGATTATAGAATGTGAAGTTAGCTTGCCACTGACCCAAAATTAGGGGTTGTATGAATCTATTGCTAATAAAAGACCTGTTTCCGGAGAGACTGAGACAAAAATATAGGTACCTATGCCTCCATGAGTGTAGTGAGAAAAGGGACATGTATCATGCATGAATAAGTAATAATGGAGCTCTTTCATGTGTGATCAGATAGTATATAATGTTTTCCAATAATTTCTATGAGAGAGACAATTTGCCTTTAACTTTGAGCCAATTATAAGTAGAAATCTCAGCTCTTAATCTCTTTCATGAGACTTTTTAAAGCCCCTCTCCTGTGATTTACTGAAGCACCTTCTGAGAGGTTCTCTGTCCTCAACTCCTGCTAACTTCTGTTAATTTCTATATCTAAAGTGAGCAACATAAATTTGTAAATATTTGAATGTCCTTTTTGAAATTTTTGGAGCCTCAGAATAACCGATACATATCGTCCAGTCAGGAGGTACACTTCTGTATATTATTCATCTCATTGCATTGTATCTGTGATGTTAAGTGACTAATACAGTTAATGTGTTCTTCCCCCCCTCACTGAATTTGTATAACTGCTTAACAAATAGTTTAATTTGGGTTATGTAGGTAGCTTCCCCCATCACCACCCTCAATAGATTTGTATACCCTTTTAGAAGGGAGAGGTAAGCAGAAATGCATTCAAAATACTCTCGCTCCAGTTTTTCTGCAGTGCTAAATATTTGGAATTTTATGTGTGCTGCAGTGGAAAAATACTCGGATGAAGTGTAGTGTGAAGGAATTTGTTAATAGGTGATTTGTAATAAAAACATCTTCCTAAACTCTCAGTGTAACCTCTTTCAGTTTATTTTAGTCTGTTTTATGCATACTAATAAACCTTGTTGTGTTCATTCATAGTTATACTAACGTTCAGCTTTTCCTTATTCTTACGTGAATATGATTGATGTTAATTCTGTGTTTAAATTCAGATAAAAATCTGTAGACAACCTTTCCCCTCCAAAAGTGAGAGGTTAATTCAACTCAGTATCACAAGCTTTAATAATGGCATTCCCAAATTCCAATCCATATACTGGATTTTGTAAAGGGAGGTTTATCTGGCATCATAAATGGTAACCTGGGATAAAATTTCAGAGTTATGTAAATAAGACAAGAAGGGTAGGTAGAAAAATGTACTCCTGACATTTTTGTTCATGATTTAATGTTAGCCTAAAATAGTAAGTCTATTGCGAGTCATGGAACCTGACTTCCTTCAGAAAACTGCGTTCTGCAGTTCTTTTTGAATTGTTAAAACTGTTACTTTTAGGCAGGTTGCCACATCCCCAGTCTCACTTATTCTAAACCCTTTTTTTAATTATTATTGGGGAGGGGGAAGATATTTTGAATGGGGACAGATCTTGAGCTAGTGTAAATTGTCATAGTTCCATTGATGTGACTGTTTCTACTAACTGATGATCTGCCCCTATAAGCGTATTACAGGTAGAGCATTATAGCAGATGATTTGTCAGCCAGGTTACAACGGTGGTGGGAACTGGACATATTTTTATTTGCTGGGTGCTTGTGTGGGGTCAATGTTAAACAATTGCCATTTGTTCAATAAGCCATTTATTTGTTCAAACCTTGGCCACACCGAAGAGCATCTAGATCTCCATCTGTATGTTTCACATGGAGAAAGCAATCTTTCTAATCTAAGGTATCATTATGATTTTCCTATAAAATAGAAACATATTCTATTAACACTATTGAAATTTAAAATCTAGCCTTATTTAAGCATTGCCTGTGATAGCAGGACACTTTTGTCACAAGAATCCACAAATACTAATTCTTCTCTCTTTTTTCACTCCAGCTTACTGAGACAGGTTCAGGTATCAACTGCTTGGACTCCATGTGCTGCTTCTCAGATGGGGAAACAGCATGTGCATCTGTTAGAAGAATGTTGGAACGACTAATGGGAAGATGTAGTCCAACCCGGGTCAGCAGGTGTGGAATTTCTCTCAATAGCCTTTGCTGCAGACGATTCTCCTATAAACTGGAACCTGATGAGCCTGCAGCTATTGATGTCTAGCAAACCAGTTGCAGGTTTTGCGTAATTAAACAGGAAATGTTATTCTTTATAGGCTTTTTTGATCCTAAAAGATCCATTTCTTGCTTACTGGGAGTGCTTTCGTTAGAAAAAGGAAGAAAACGGTTTTTCAAGAAACAGAACTCTCTTCAAACTTTTTGTTTGGTCTTTCTAGTATGAGATCTTGTGTTGTGTATATATGGTATTTTCTCTGGGTTTGTACATCCTTCTGTTTAGAAGAACAAACCTCACTGTGCTGATTGTTTTCCTGATCCAGCTTTTTGCCTTCACAAATCAAGTGTTATTTGTAAAGTCAAAAGGCTTTTCCTTTGATACTTAATGTATGTCCTCCAAATAGTCCTAGATTAGCTTGAGTTACTTCTAAAGATATACAAAATGGTCGTATTTCCCCCAGACAATAACTCCATCATTAAAAGGAAAGTCTTTAGACTTTTCATCCATTGGTGGTTACTAAAATTAAATATTTTTTTGTAATATAACTTTTATACTCTATTTCTAGAAACCAGCTAATTTACAAAACAAAGCCTTCAAGTTGACTTCGTTTTAAGGATTTTTCTGTTTGTATCAAAAATGTCAGCAAAATCATGGGTGCCATTTAAAAATATGTGCTAAACATCATCTTGAATTACATACACTAAAACACACATTGGTGGAAGAAAAACATAAGAATTATCAGAAATATTTGTAACAAGTAATGCTGACATCTTGCAACAAACATAGCCGTGAAAGAAATTTAGAAAGTGATTTTGAGATCTACTGAAGTGAACACTTTCACATCTCCCCATTTCAAAAAAACTCAGAGAACTAGGTAACAAATATGGAGGTATTTGGGGGTAAAAATAAAAAACCTTTTGTACATCATAGTCTGTCTTTTGCTGAATGATATCATAGTCCTCCATTATTCAAAAGCCAAACCTGGAAAAAAATTGCACTTCTCACATTTACATGGGGTTTCCTTTAATATGTGAACAGCTGTCTCTTTTCAAGTTAAAGGATGTGATATCATTCATACAAAATAAAATCTTCTATGGGGAATTTATACTGACATGCATTGTCAGTTATGATTTTACCTTTAGGTGTTGACTTGGTATGTGGTACATTTTCAGTTTTAAAATTCTTGTGTTAACAGTGTCTGTGATTCTAATCATCTTCTTTATTCTGGCTTGCTTATGAAATTTTGTTCGTTATTTCCATAAATCTAGGGTATAATTATGCAAAAATATCTTGTGTATAAGAAGGAACTGTTTATGATCAAGTAAATTTTTTTAAATCAAAACTCTTGCTGTATAGTAAGCAGGCATGATGTGTAAAATAAACAGTTGAATAGAATTTTTAAACTACAAGATGAGCATTTAATTGGTCTAAAATCAACATTTCTGTAGTGGTTCCTTTAGGTATATTTTCACTTACTGTTATCTTCTGTAACAAATGAAAACTATGTGTTGCAAATTAGAAACTTTTATTTTCCGTGCTGCTTTCTTTGTTCTGATGTCACCTAATAAGTGATACGGTTTTTGGCCAAAAATTTGTTTATTGTGCAGGATCTCATAAAGGTAGGTATAATTATTTTTTCATTCTGCTAGGCATCTAGATTTTTTTTACAATTTCCTCCCTCCTCCTTCAGTGAGATCTATTAATAATAAAAATAAAATATCATATTTGACAGAATATAAAGCACTTTTTCAATATTGTGCTATTTCTCAGGTTACTTGTCTGTTAACGCTTGTCATCTTTTTTTTCCTAACGACTGTACCGTCTGACTGAATAATTTTAGGGCCTGAAAGAGAGTTGTTAAAGCATTAGAATGAACATGGCTTCAAACAAATGACTATGCAAAACAATCTAGGTGCTAGTCAAAGGGCTTTAGGAGTTCCATGGTTGCTGCTGCAGCTCCAGGGTTTATATTGAAGTGGCTCACTTCACAGCCCTTTCAGTTTCACCTTATGACAGTAACTGAAAAAGAATCTGCTTGCTTTATTTATTACCTGTTTGTCTTCTGAGTGACTCCAGCTCCTTCCCTTCAGCATTTCTATTTAAAATCTAGTCTAAAAGTGGTTGGAGGATGTATTTACGTTCTTCCCCTCACTTCCCTTGCAGTACGTGAAAGTTGCTGAATACTTTTGTTGAACATACTAATTATGTAAGTCACATAAAACAGTTCTACCAGCTGTGAAATACTGAAGGTACAGTTAAGTACTTTTAATCCCAAAATATATTTACTGCTCAGTATTAAGCTTAGATGAGGCTTGGGTACAAATGCAATTTAGATTTTACTAAATAGCTATTGTCTTTTAGAAGATGCATGCAATCTCGAATGTAATAACTATTGTATAATGTTACTGGTGGTGTGAACCAACTGTTCTATTCCATCCCAGAGGTAGCTGAATATCATTGATGAATTAAGTGATACCTGTATATATGTAGCTTGTAAAAGTGCTTTGTAGTGCTTTGTAATGAAAAGCACTTTTCCAATTCTGTTGATATAGATAGCTTGTGTTTATATACAATATGTGCACCTAATATTCTGTCAAATATGATAATGGGATATGAAATTAGACATGCTATCAAATTTTGGATGGGAGCCATTTCTTTTGATCTCAAGGTGTACAAATGCTTGGAGTAGAGGGCAACTGGCATAAAGTACTGCAGTTTTATTGTTTTTTTAAAATATAATCAAAATACATTTTTCATTGTTTCATTCATTTAAAATAAAATTGAAAGATTGCATGTTTCTTGCAAATCAGTAAAATGCATTTCTGTCTGTCTCTCTTCCATTAAACTGTCTGTCTACTCATCAGCCAATAGAATATTAAAAATTCTGGATATCACATAAGTTCTTATGGTAGAACCCATTACTGAATGATCTGGACCTGTCATTAGCCAATACACTTGTCAAGGTACATGTGTGTACTATTTTGGAGAAACAGCAGATTTCTGACAGAGGTGGGCTTTGGAGCATAAATTGTTTCCACTTTATGGCCCTCTTCCTTCTTACCCTTTATTTTCAACTTTTAATCTAATATGTTGACTTTAACAATCCTGCCAAAGCAGTGGCCTATATATAGGATTTATTCATCTAGGGAAATAACTTACTCTTAGGTGAAAAACATTGGTAGATCAAAAGGCAATGATAGTTTGGATATTTTTTTCACTTATCATACATTTTAGTTTAAATCTAGTACAGCCAATGGTAAAATATATCTTAATGGCTATAGTTAAACTATTAGATGAAGTTTGTTCCAAGTTAAGTTGCTCACAGCATCAGTATTAAAATATTTAAATAAAACACCAATATATTAGCATACTGCAATTAGCTATTTGTGTACTGAGAGGATTTGTTAGAATGATCTTACTATGCCAAAAATAAAATGTAGTATTCACTCTGCCTGATTTACATATATAATATTGAAGTTACCTCAAAAAGCCTAGAAGCCCCATATAATTTAAATTTATAGCAGATTAAATATCTTTTTAGTCATGGTATAGTGAATTTTTAAAATAAATAGTCTGTTCAGAAAATTCAAGAAATAGTTGCTACAGCATATTTTTGAGGGTTTGAATGAATTGCGGGTGTCAGGATGGAATTAACGGACTACAGTTTTAAAGAAAGGAATAATTTGCTTTATGCTCTTAGACCTTTTCTCCTCTCACCTAAAATTATAGGTTCCTAGTCAGCCAAACTTTTCTTTTATTGTTACTGTAGATCATGGAGCTCATCGGATCCCTACTATACCAACGACAGAAGCATCTTGACTCTCTCCACAATGGACTCACCCACTTGTTAACAAGAACATTTGTTAGTGCCTGGTGGAAGCCATATGGTGCTTACATATTTATAATAGGTTATGCATGAGTTCAGTGCTGCCTCTGTCCTAGAAAATGTGCTAGCACAACAAAAACATCTAAATACAAACCTCGTGGTCTGTCTTGTAGCATAGCAAAACATACATGTGAAGGATAATCTCTTCCACTACATTTTTCTAATCTTATAACCAAATATTTGTATGCTTTTTCTCTGCCCATTTCCTCTTCGTGCTAACAGGTTGGAATCCTGTGTTTGACATTTTATTTGAAATCTCAAGGTGAGGCAATGACCAAATGTTTCTGTTCCCAAGTAATTGATTTGAAGGTATGAGCTTATTTTGAAGTCTGATTTTGTAAATTAAGCTGATTTCCCCCCCCCCGCCGCCCTTGGGGGGAAGAAAATTTTTTTATTCTAAATTTGTATTGAAGCTTCTTGTTATGCTAACTTCTTAGTTTACAAATAAACAAAACTCTTGTTTTTTCCCTGGGCAAGTCAATTAATTAATATATCACTTTAAAAAAACCTGAGCTGGTGGATTAGCTGTTAAGAGATGGAAATACCATCCGCATATCTGTACTGGTGTACAAATGGCAATATACTAGTAAAATATGACATAGCCCTTTTCAAAGTGGTGACAAAAGCATAGCATTGTGCACCCTTCAGGTATAATAAGAATCTCATGTTCTTTACAGGTAATATTTAAGAGCCAGTCATTCTCGTCCATAACCATTACATCCTACATGTTTTAATAACTATTATTGATCCTGACATGGAAAAATAGGTGGAAAACATGTTGAATGGATTGTACAGTTGTCTCATTAGCATATGTATTGAAAATTTTAAGGGTTTAATCCTTTTAACATTGTTGCGGGGTTGCATGTTTTATTTTTAATATATTTATATTTGTTCATACTGTACTTTGAAGATTTAATTAAGCATTATCTTCATATATCTGAAGGATCTGACACATTGATGGCAATGGTTTGATATACAATTATCTCAATAAAAACAAAGTGCACAGATGCTACTTTGGACAGAATTATAAATTTTGCAGCTACATTTTCTGCTATAAATGTGTCTGAGTTCTTGGGTTGGGTAGGAATTTTTGTGAATACGTGTGTGTGTGTGAGAGAGAGAAAGAGAGAGAGACTAGCAGTAGGACTGAATCTACTGGCAGTAGAGAGATACAAAGAAGAAAGATGCAGGGTATCCATCAGTGAGATACATGGGATACTTCTCAATAGGATGTTGCTAGAAACCTGGTGCCCTGGGCCCCAGCACTGAAGCCAGGAGCGGCGCAGGGCTGAAGCTCGCAAACCTCCCCCCAGAACCCAGGAGCAGTGGCAGGGCTGAAGCTGGGAGCCCCTGTGCACTCTCCCCTCCCCCCACCCCCGGCTTAACCTGGGAGCTGCACTGGGAGCCCCTTGTGCCCATACACAGCCTTTAGCTATCCCCCTGCCTGCACCCTGAGCTATCCCCTGCCCAAACACAGCCCCTAGCTACCCCCTCCCTGCACCCTAAGCGATTTTCAAACTTTTGAACTGAGTCCCCCCTTTGAGTTATATTTTTTGTTCCCGTCCGCCCACAGCCCAGACAGGCTGGGTGGTCTCCTGAGGGAGTTGGGGGTGGAGGTGGCACAGGACCATGCTGTGCGGAGCTGGCTCAAGCCCTGCCAGCCCTTGCCCCCCCCCACCCCCCATATAGAAGTACAACTATGCCCATGCCCCAGGGTCCCCCACTGGCTTAGAGCCCTCTGCTCCCACCCCCACCAGGCCCTGGCATTTTCATAGCATGTTGAGGGGGGCCTCAGCAAGAAAAAGGTTGAGAACCCCTGTTTTAAATCAGCCTCTGGCTGCTAAGTCCCATAAACAAAATTTCTGCCCCCCTGAAAAGGAGAAGGAGGTGTTGGAAAGCTGCATCCGCACTGGCAAAACTCAGACCTGTAATGATCTACCAGCGGTGGCAAAGGCGAATGCTGTAGCATAGGCAGTGGGCACAGACTTTCTTACCTAATCCAAGGTAGTGTAGACAAGGTGTGTAGGCAGGTGGGGGGGGAAAGGGGGCAATTGACCCAGTGGGCCACAGGGCTCCTAGGTGTGTGCAGGGTGGTACCGGCGAAGGTGGGCGAGCATGTGGAAGCCCTGGCCCTGCTGGAAGAGCGTGCCCGGCAGCTCGCTGGGCCCCAGCCAGCCCAGACACAGCACCACCCAAATGTCAGGCAGACTGCAGCTTGTGCGTGTGTGCACCAGCTGCCGCACATGGTCCGGCTCCGCGCCCATGTGGCGACACCCCACCAGGCCTGGGGGCCTATTGACCGTTCTGCCCTGGGGCCCGGAATTGCTGTCGGGGGGCCTGTGTGTAAGGTGGACAACACAATGATCTAAGTGCCTGCCCCTGTCTACACTACAGCTTCCATTATTGCTATCACCTGTATAGCTGCATTAGCAGTGAATTACATGATTGATTTTTTTTTTTTCATAGTGTAGACACAGCCTTAGAAGTCCTCTACACTATGGGGCATGGGCTGCTGCAAGAGAGAGATTGGTCTCCATTATTCTCCTCCTTCCCAGCTTTCCTGGATTCTGTGAACTATAGGGGAAGAAGTGTTAAGATGTCTCCACTGCTGTTCTCAGATTTTTAGGTCATCCTCACTGCTAACTCCAGTGCCTATCTCTGCTGCTGTTCATGGCTTTCCCAGCAATGCAGCATTTTGGTTCACATCTTGAATCTTCATTTTTGCAACAATAAGGACTAGAAACTTAACCGTTAAAAATTAAAGTTTAAATTCTTTAGCAACTGGCGGATTTATCAATTTTCAATTGTATACATATACTTGGAAGTCTGAGTTAAATACTAGCACGGGTTTTGTCAGTGGTTTCTGTTCCTGAAACGCCCCAAAAAATTTATGCCATGGTTATCTGTGAAATAATCTTAGGCCACATTTTCTAAACAACTTCTCCTCAGGTATCTGTTGTTTGCAACTGTTACCTTTGTGTGTTAAGCCATTCTGCTTCACTTTTCAAAAGTAGCTGTGTCTGTCAAGGTCATTCATTCCTTAGCCAGCCCTCAATGGTTTTCAGTGTTGCCATATAGTTTTTCATTAGTTCTTGTGATTAGTATGTCATGTTTTGAAATCTAAATTATAGTAAATGGTAAAAAAAAGGGGGGGGGGAATGCTTTGAAAAATAACCCTGCTCCAAGCATTTACAACAATTCCATACCACACATATAATGTTTTGACTTTTGTGGTATGAATAAAAGGTTGAATACATTTGTGCCAAGCAAGCAAAATGTTTATTTTTGAAGAGTAATTTACCTCCATTATGGTTTATTAAACCTTCCACCTCTTCCTGCTTCCCCTCCCTTATCAGTGTGTCTAAGGTTACTGAAGAAATATGTATTTAAGCAATTCAGGAAGAGCTTAAGAATTTATATGTCTACCCCAGGTACACTTCTCTATTTGGAGAAAAAAAATTTCAGTAATGCTTATTTCTCATTAATGGAAATATGTAATTGGTTTGCATAGAATACAGAATTTTTATCTAATGAATGCTTAGGAGGAAAAACAACAATATTTTGTAATGTACCACAAATAATATAGAATTGGTTTTACTCAAGAAAAGTTGTTTTTGTATATACCTCTAACTGTTACAGTATATGCGATATGCTAGTTCTAGATTCGCTAGTATGTGGAATTTTTCACAAAGCAAAGTTAACCAAGTCTGTCGTCTTCAATTATCCAACTGTAACTATTGATCTTTCTGATTGAGAACACGAGGAAAAAGAATGTACAGTATAGAGATGTGTGTAGAGTTACCTTTATTCTTGAAATCCACAAAATGAAGGCACATGCAAAGGATTCCTTCTGGATTTTCCTTTTAGTGCAATAAAGGCTGCTCCAAACATTCTTAACTCACAGTAACACAAGTGATATTATTTTCATTCTTATTTTACTGTGCAGTATTTTTGATATCCTGGATGGAAGAGAGCACTTCCATAGCCACCTTTTAAAACTAGATAGAATTCTCAGCGGATCTTAATACCTGGTATGGGAAAAAGTCAATTTTTCAAGAGCATATATTCTTTCATGCAACATTTGGTGTCTAAAGCATACCGTGTAGAGACTGGGAACTGGAAATGACATAAGTCTGCTTACATTAAAAACACTTCAAGCTAAAATATAAATATTACTTAAAATATCCATTTAAATATAATATTATAGAGGGAGGCCACATAAGTGAAGAGAGCAAATGTTGAAAACTTTATCGTTTCAAAATGATCTCATTTGCTGGTGGAAAATGGTTATTTAAAACCGATTACACAATTTACAATACAAACGACCCAACTGTCACTCCTTACTAGAAATAATTGGTAATTCTTTCAAACCCTTATTTTTACAATCGGATAAAACTGTTGTGTGTGTGAAAAGTCTCATTTCTAGTACGAGAAATCTCGCATCATAAAGCTATTGGTAAACAAGGATAGTCCATAGAAATTTTGATTGGCTGACAAACTCTCTTTTAAGATTAGGCTTTATGTACTCCAGTTGTATTTGTGAAGTGCAGTATTCAGAATTACTTACCATGTATGCTACCAAAATCATTTGTTCAGGAGAATCCTCTATCTTGCTATATTAGTTTCTCATTTTACAATATACAGTAGTAATGTGGCTATTTAACAAAAGTTAACCCATAGTAACTAATTGTTACTGCATTATCGTATGATCACCATAGTTTCTAATGGAGTTACATTCCTAGAGTTGGGTGATCCATTCATAATGAAAAAGTTGACTAAGTTATCCCTTTTCCCGTCACAAATTATCTACGGACAGACAATTTACAGATTAGTGTTTTATGCAAACATTTCAGTCTACGGCTGGTTTGCAAATTCCTTGCTTCTACTGTTTGTTTTCTAAGGTGTGTGATTTATCACCTCAGTCACTTATCTGGTTTCTTCTCCCTTTTTTGGGTTACTTAACTTTCATGAACAGGGAAAGGGAAATTGGAGATTTTAATATAGCTGTGTGAAAACAACTGCCACTGATCTTCTTGCAAACACATTCACAAAAGTACTTGCAAGTCTTTTCATTTTCCACGGAAACATTCCTGCAGCTAAATATCATTCATACAGATTGCAAAGGCAGTCAAATGAAAAATACACCCCAGGTGCTATCCACATTAATCCATGCTTTTCACTCGCATGTTCTCCATCACTTCCTTGAAATATTCACCTAGCTGTAGCTATTACCATGGTATAATGCAAGTGGTTTTGCAGTAATTGTAGACAATTGACATTACCATAGACATGACGTTTGTTTGTTTGTTTCCAGTATGTATAAATGCATGGAACTTAAATAAAGTCTGACGGGCTTGGGGCAAAAAGGCATCTGATTATATAGTACAAAAAGGTATTTGAGAGCACCCTAAAAATATTGCTAATTATAACACAGAATTATTTAAAAGACTCTCTTTAAATGTGTCTAAACATGATCTAATGTAATAGCAAATACCATTCTTTATAGTCAACATTTTTAAAGGAAATTGTTTCGTATGTCAAAGGAGCCTGGTTGATTGTATTTTTCTTATCTTGGCCGTGGGATAAATCGTAATACGTTGCCCATGCTTCTTCAATATATATGTGCAGAATACTTTAAAAATGAGACTTTCAGGTATAAATAAAATGTCATTACTACACCAAAGAGTATATTTTTAAGAAAAATGCTTAATTATGGTCCCATTAAATGCTTCAATTCTTATGCACATGTAGAAACAGTGAATAAACTCTCCCCCCCCCCCCCCTTAAGAAAAGCATGATCAAGTGCTGCTTGTTTTGGGGGGAAAAACTTGAATGATACTCACGCAAGAAGTACTAGCTGCTGTGTTGCGATTGCTGCGGTTAGACAGAAATGGGCATTAACAACTGGAAACTAGCGATAATTAGTACAAAAAATTTCAGACCTCAAACACTGTGCTGCCTCTAATGTCCTGCTTGACAGCAGAGTTAATACAGGGGGTTAAATGTACAGTT